GGCCACTACTGCATCAATTCTTCAAAATCCTCCAAAAGGCACCGTTGACATATTGAGGCAGTGTCGTCGATATTCAGAAGAAGTGTGGATGATTTCTACAATGATATAAGTACAAACAACACAAGGTACAGCCTAAGTCCATGCCACAATGCATGCTCCGAAATCAGCCCACACATTTTGTCGTACAGCCTGAAACCTTCGAAATCCTATGCAAAGACAATTTTAGAGGATTTGGGAAGCTTCGAGTTAATGCTTAAAGATCTTCTTCACACCGAGAGATTCACGTCAACCAAACAATATATTACGATGGAGAAGCTCATTTTTTGCTACTACGACTTGTTTTTACATTGACAAGTGCAGTGAACAACCGTACCAACATGTACAATTTGTTTACAAATATTGATGTTGAGGTCGCGCGACATACGCGACCCTTCATTCAACGGTTCACTTTTGCAATGCATACACTGTAAAAAAATAATGGGCAAAACACTGTTGGGCAATATAATTTTACCCAACATTGGTTTGAAATTAACTAATTTGGGTAAAAATTGTCCCCAACTATTTGGAAGAACTTTGCCCAAGAGTTTAACCTGTTGATATGTTGACCAACGTTGGTCTACATATCAACTCATTTTGCCCAACGTGTTTACAGTGTATAATATCTTGAAATACAAATGGTTAAGACAAGTGTTGCCTGTCGGCATGACGTCACATGACACATGGTATGTACACGTAGAGTGAACATCGTTTTGCGAAAAGAATTGATGATCCTCCGGGCTAACCAACACTTCAAAGTACACCTGAATGTCATTTCAAATATAATGACGTGTATCGTGCGTTGAGATTCCTATTTCAATCGGGCCGAGTACCAGTGATAACACAATCGTCATCATTCTTGGGTGGGGAAGAACAGGCGGGTAGATGCCATTCTTGATTTTGAATTTACAGATAGGTCACTAAGACGTGTGGCCAGTTATAAGTCTAGACACTTTTACTTGTTAATTTTTGAATGCAGTGTAGAGCTAATATTTTGCTGTTAATTGTGATAGCAAATCAGTTTGACACCTTCAATGATTGGGAATCGTTAAACATTACTTTTGATTCCATTATCTAAAATCAGATTAAAAGTCTGACTTTTCAAATTGTAAAATGGCTAAAACAACAACAATAAAATACAACATTGTAACTTTTTAAACTACTCTGTGGAGTTTCCGTGAATCTTAGCTTACGGGAATACAAAAGATGCACAGTTTATTACATTAATAATTCGTGGCAAAATGCATTGTAATCAGCTCACATTACGTGCCTAGTGTAAATCCAACTCCGAACAAACAAATTGGAAGGAATTCCATACTGGACCACCACACTACCTCCTGCACAAAGTCTATGGGCCATGACAGAAAAAGTTCATTACCCAGGAAATATTGCCCTCTTTAAATGGTGTTTCTTTATCAGATTTACAACTTTTGGTACTCTTCAGGTCATTTGAGGGAATATAAGTGGTGGCCCAGTATGGAATTTTTTCCAACAAATTAATTACACACAAAAGTCAATCATCGAATCTGAGAAATTAATGAAACAAAAGCTTACCTCAATAGGGGCCATGCTCCCTTCCTCGGTCACTCTAACAAGCTGTTGCTCTGGTGGAACTGGATATGTAGAGATGTACATGAGTAATATATCCATCTTGGCTGAGGAAATCCCAGAAGAAACTCAATTCAAAGTACTGTGGTAAAGGGAAATGCCGGACGAAATGTCAATGGTCATTCCTTGCTGAGCCCTGGTCCATTTGTAACGGTTGAATGCAAACAGCACAATTTAAAGAATTCTATTGGAACGTAACAATGGATAAGCCTTGCACCGTACAGTTGCTGGCAGTCTAGTTAGTCTTGTTACTAAAAGGAATCCAACTACAAGAACAAGTTTTGACAATGGACACTATTACACCGGCTGCTAAAGATAAAACATTTAAGGTTATGTGTCAGTCCCTGTATAATTGTATTAAAACTAGAAAATCGACGATGTATGACCCTAGTCCGAAAATTTGGGACTCTCAATACTGTGTATGAGAGTCCCAAAACTTAAGGTATCCATATCGTGCAAAAGTTTGTGCCGCATAATAAAACCAGTGTGAATCAAATGTGCAAACTTCTTACTCACTACAGTTTCTTCAATAATCCCCGAAACTTCTGCCCTGCAAAGTTGCTGTTGTGAGCATTGCATCACCAAAAATTCAGCTTTTAATTCTAATTTTGCAGGGAGTTATCGCAATCCAAACGCGAAACATCACGTTGATGTGTACTGCAATGCATTGTGCAAAAAGACTCCTCAGCTAAAACATTTTCATCAAAGTCGTGTAGATAAAACAGCGCCCTCTTGTTGATCTGAGTGAATGCAGAATGTTTCATTTTTTAACAGAGGGCGCTATGTTCATTTGGCCATCGATTAAAAAACAAGTAAGCTGCAAGGCTCTTCCTACACCTACCCAGAATACCTTGGGAATCACACCACCATTTCTTAAGCATGGAAAATGACGTGGATGGTTTTTGAACTGTCAAAAACTTGCCTTAAAATTGGATTTAAGGTCTCAAATTTTGCAGGTGACATGCTTGCAACTTAAGCATTTTGATGTATGTGTTGTGTGGGCATTAATTAGCTGAATGGTGAGTAAAAAAACGTCAGTAGTAATTTTGCACGTTTTTATGCACTCACGGTCCCAGTCTGGTATGACCCATGACATGGGTCAAACATCAGGCATGTTCAGAGCAACTCTCCAAATTTCCCCTACAGGGTTACAAGACGTCTAGACGTATGGCATCAAACATAGCTTCGATTTCAAATTCAGGAATCAACTTTTCATGGAATTTCGCTTGCATAATTTGGTGGAGGAAGTTAAGACCCTATATAGAACACATTGCGGGCTATCGCTAGCCTGTACTAGGCGATATTTACAATAAAAAATGGGGTACCGGTATTTAGTTTTTCCTTTTACTGAGCCCTTTTTAATGGCCAGAACTGGGTATTCAACAATATTTACAGGGTGTTGGAATGAAAAATAATCAGCTGTATTTAAACTATACTCTTTATTTTGTAAAACAAAACAAAGGGAAATAATGTAGTATCCAGATGCCACTTCTTTGATTGTTACAAAGTTTATGTAGAGTTGAGCGTATTTTCAAAGTATTTTCCAACAAAACAGGAAACGGTTTTTTTTTTCAGTCCCAGATTCATGTATTACAAATATGTGTTCGATGTCTGACCTTCATTGAAAAAAGTGGCGTCAGAATGCAACATTTTTTTCCGCTCAAGAGAGAGCCGTTCGATTTACAATACACGAAATTGTCGTCGAGTCACGATAGCAGCTCATGTGCATGTACGTCATGTGCGTGAACGAACTCATGTGCAGAACTTTCTCGACAAGTCCAACCATAAAAATCCGTTCAAAACAACGGATTTCATTCACATTTGATATTCAAGAAATGTCCTGCATGTTCAGATAACATGAACTCAAAAAGTAGCGTCCACAAATTAAACACTGCCAACGACTGAACGACAAAAGTGAAACTTACGGTACGTCTGCAAAGGCCCGATGCTTGCGAGTTTTGCACGTGCGCACGTATGCACGAACGGACGTAGGCCATGGAAAAGTAAAAAGTACGTTGCGTAGGAAAGTTAGGCTCGGCCCAAATCTTAGTTTATTACAGAGCTGAAGACCTCCAAACTAATTGTAAAACTGAAGTTTCACTAACAGTATAAAAAATATAACGGCACTTTAAAAAATATCAGGCTTTAAAATTGAAGATTATAATTTTAACATGGTATTTTAATATTAATTAACCGAAAGCACGTAATCGACGGTGCGCCTACTGTACACAAAGTAGACTGGACACATGTCCTAAGGTCTCATGCATATGCACTGATCACTATATAAGGATCAGTGCTCATATGTCGAATAATTGAGGAAAACGTTGTTTTGAGTGAAGTGCGGTGGACATACATGACTCTTTTAAGGAGGGGGGGGGAAGTTCGCAAGAAAACAAAACAAAACATTTGGGAAGATATTTTCTGGCCGGCTGGGAATTCAGAAATTGGCCGAGATAAAAAGAAAGGGGGGGGGGATTAAACATACATTCAAGTCCGAGGGGATGAATGCAAGGTTAGGTTTCATGTACACACATGCATGAGCGTCGCGAGGAAGGGGGGGGGGGGGTAGCCGGGGGGGGGGGCAAGCCAACAAAAAAATTCAAAAAGGAGGCGTAACAAAGGCAAAAAATAGGGGCGAAGTCATATCGGTGTTAATTTAGTGGGTTGGGGGGGATTTCCCTGCCCACCCTTGAAAATGATAAATAAAGAATATGCTGAAAAGGTATAGGGATTTTTTGGAGAAAATGTGCTTTGCCCCCCTCTAGGAAACGACTTATTCGTGAAAAATACACACACAAAAATGTTTTTAACTTTAAACATAGAAAATCAAAAGAAAGCATTCAAACGACATTTGCAACAACATCAACTCGACTCTTTATTTATCTATTAATTGCTAAGCAATTGACACTGAGATGGCCGTGAGTAATGAGCTTTTGACAAATTAATGGTTAAACCATAATTATGAAACAGCAATTTTTTGGTTAACTTTCAAAAAAAAATGTCCGCAACATTGCTGATGAAACAAATTTCATTTATTTTCATTAAGGGTGCGGACGTGGGTCACTCAAATAAACAATTTTGAGCTAGTTTTTTTCGCACCGAATCGGCAGGGCATATGCATTAATTTCCGGGCAATTAGCAACATTCCTACTGGTAATAATAGGAAAAATTGGGGAAAAAACTAAATTAAAAACTTTTTAGTCACAATTATCGAAACTGATTAGTTTTTGCCAAATGAGCTTGAAGACAAAATATATGCTTACTACTCTAATTAGCCAGTTATTTTTATTTGAATACAATGTGTTAATATTGAAATTAAGGACAACTGAACTGACGGACTGCACTGTGTTTAATTGTGCTGCATTACAAAAAAATTCTATTGAATATCACCCATGCCTAACAGCATAATAAACGTTTACTTAAATTGTTCTGAATTTCTCTTAAATCTTCTTCAAATATAATTGAGAAATATGGATAAATGATTTCCTTTGATGAACTCAGGCTAGTAGACAGTTCCTGTAACTAGTTTTCTTCAGTGGCCAGTGGCGAGTACAATTGAAGGCGTTGGGTGCGTTTACGCATCACGACAATCAGTGTGCCGAGTACCAGCACGCAGCCAACCAATAGGCAGACAGTTGTCAGAAGGATTGGCAGCTGAACAGACGACAGCTCACTTCCTTCTGAGAAACAAACAAACATGTACAAATGCTAATATTTTTTAAGCAGGAACTTAACACAAAATGCCAATATCTGACTCAACCTATTCAACAGTAATGCACATATTTTGAATTGTTGGCACATCCTTTAAACCCCACCCATCGTTGTCCATCCCAACCTGACCATCCCCGAATATCCACCCCAATTACATTAGACACAAATCACACACCTAAGTGTGTATTTGCCTGCAATCGGGGACCCTCTATTGTCCCTCTTTTGTCTGTACCCTAACATTTTAGGAAGACCTCCCATATGTTTTGTACACGAATCCAAATAGGGGACCTCTTAGGAACTGTGGGCCCTTCTGTCCTCTATGAATGCAGAAACAAACTTCCATTCTCACTACTTACATCCCAATCATACCACACCCAACGCACTCCATGGTACCCTATTCCACCACCCTATTCCCTACAACAACTCTAATTCTTCCTATTCGCATTCTCTTCCTTCCATTTAATCCCCCACCTTCCATTCAATCACACCCTGTCCACCACGCACACAGTCCCACTGCATACCATCTTATCCCATGTACCCTATACCATGTACCCTACTCCTCCCTATACCCATTCCTTCCCTATATTTTCCTCTCTATCCCCATATATACCAACCCACCACACCATGTCCCATTCTACCCATCTGAACTATTATATCCTACTCCACAACACTTACAGTCCCTGCCTAATCCTCCCTAAAACTTCCTCTCCATCCCATCCGGCCCACCACACCCGGTCTAATTGCACACTACCCTTCCCACCTACACATATCCTGCCCTAACATACCCACCAACATCAATCCTACCCATCCCTACCAAATCACTCCCTTAACCCTTCCAATCTATCCATCCCTGCAGCACATCCAATGACTCACTACTCTCACCTTACACCCTGCCCCATCCCAGCCTACCCCACCCCACCAACCCCATCCCACCAACCCCATCCCAACCTACCAAATGTCACCCACCCTATCTCTCTGCCCCTCCCTATCCCACTCACTACTACTCTGCATATACTACACCAGACTTGGACCCTGAGTGCAGAAAAAAATGCAAAATAAACTAGGGCTGACTTACATACTGACTCTTTAGCTGACAAAATTCTCCAAAATTCTTATGAGGCAAAGACTATAGGTTCTCAGTATTTCACCAGCCAAGTTTAAGGTCTCAATTGAAGTTAAAAGGAAACTTTGCACCTGAGAATGAACAGTTTTCGCCTGAGAGTGCAGCCCAGTGATTTCAATTCATCTTGAAGCCAAAGGGTAAGGCTAGACTGATACGTGTTCAACTGGTTTTTGTTTTTTAATGATAAAAGGGAATATACATCATTTGCTTTTGCTGTAATTTTCAGAAATGGATGGAATTGGGGGGTTGGAAATATATAGCAAATATAGTTACACTGACTTTTTTGAGGTTTTGGGTTCGAAAATGCTATAAAAACCAAGAAAAACAATCATTTTCCTGTAGTCTGGTTCCCTGACTCCATTTAAGAAGAAACAGAGCAGTTTACATACATTGGGGAATTGTAAGATCAGGGAACCAGTGTAGCTGGCTTGTACCCGTTCATAGGTGTGTAATCGATTGCAAACAAGTGCGATGGTCAACTGGGGCCAGTATTTGAAAAAAAGGCAAGTTTTTTCCAATGCTGATTGGCCGATCAGCGTTGGAAATTGATACAAAAATACCACTTTTCTTGAAAATGACAGTATACCAGGTGCCATGATTTTTCAGGATGCTTTACACTGTCATTCACTAATAGTCCAGCAAGGTATTTCAAAAATGATTTGGTAGTTTTATTTTTTGATGTTTGCAAATGTTGTATTTTCCCTTTAACTCTGGTTACCTGACTATGTGTAGAAATAGAGAATGTGTAGAAAAAGACCAGGTACCAGATCTTTATGTTGACACAGTCAATTGATGCAGTACTTAAGGGGTCGTGGACTGGTTGTTTCATGTGGCAGTCTGTTTTCTTATACTGCATGTTTTACTATCTTACAATTTGGCACTCTAGCACCCAGTAGTGAGAGTCCAAATCTTTTGGACTAACACTTACACCCACTCCCAGCCTAGTCATGTCCCATAGCCAACCCTCCTCCTTTCCCTACCTTCCTCCCCATCCTCCATCACAGATATGGGTCCCTGCGTGATGGCATAAGCGCGGGAACCAGACGCAGATCTGGCATGGCGTCTGTGCACACCGGGGAGTAAGTTGATGCTTCTAGTTGGACATCCGATGGCACAGCGCGAGTATGCATCAGTGGAGTTACACAGAACCATGTCACAATGAACGTACACCTATAAAAGGAAATTAATAGGTAAATAAATAAATAACCTGACATGCAACTGTGGGTCTATGACATGTTGCCTGGCAGATATATGAATAAGAACATAGTGAAACAAACAAGCAATCAACTTAAAATTTGGAATTTTCGAAAGAACAATTAGAAACTTGCTCTATATGATTTTTTTATGAATGCCAAGCTTTCATAGGAAAGCTACAAAGGAAAGGACGGATTTTTGAATTAAGATGAAAATCATGCATCTGCTACTGAATCAATGTCTGCTCCAGGTCAATGTCAGGGTGAATGACAGAATTCATGAATAAGAACATTATAGTGTAACAAACTCAATTAACTTAAAATTTGAATCCTCCAGGATCCAATGAACAACATGAAACTTGTTCTATTTGATTTTTTTTATATATTTCCAGCCCCTTATTCCATCTCTGTTATAAGTATATTATGTAGCGAAATGTGCAAAATTCAGAAATTAATAAATTAAAAATGATTGTTTTCTTCTTCAATGAAATTATATAATGTAACATTAAAGCCAAACTATTTCTCAATCCACTCGTTGAAAATGATTGAATAGGCATTGAATAGGCACTGAAGTTGGTGACATCACAGGAAAGAATATTCCTAGTAAAATGTTCACCCTTTCACTTAATTGATTGTTTTTCTGGATCTAGGGACCCAAATGGAATGTGGATTGAATACATTGTGAGGCTTTATCTGTACGCTATCTGTACGGTACAACAGGCGTACAGTACAGTATGTGCACTCTATCATTGATATAAGAATATTGGCAAATAAAAAAAACAAGTTACTTATGAATCTTCCAAAGAACAATTAGAAACTGGCTCCATTAGGTTTTTTATTCTATGTGCCCATCCTTACAAGATTTGATTGGTATGTAAGACCACTCCAACTCTACTACAGTACAACATATGCACAGTATAGGTCAACCAACATAGGCACTTTTCATTTTTTTGACCTTGCTGCTTTGCTGTACAGCGCCCGCTATAGTTCATGCACAATTGTTATACCTCAAGGAAATTTAACACCTACCACCGGCTGGGGTAGGGCATCTACGAATGCAAAGGCATCAATCTCAAAACGGTCAATGTCCGGGTCATCTGATGGATGGAATACCACTGTGTTGTCTTCAATGCATCTGCACAACAAAAATGTAAATGAAAGAACAGCAAAATGGGTGATTATGACTCTGTGCCAGTTTTTACATTTCAATATTTATACTTTTGGATATAATTGAACAAAAAAAGATCTTCTCAATGTCAATTACACGTGTGGGCATAAGATCAAGAAGGTCATAACTGTTCTCTTTGTGGTTCATGTGTAGTATCAAAGGAAGCAGGTACCACAACATCCTAGCCCACATATCAAAAAATAGAACAAAAGGCCTGTACTTTACTCTGAAAATCAGTGATATCCGTTTTGTTCAGAAACATGTTTAGAAGCCTTTTGATTTCTATTTTGTTAATACTTGGGGGTTGGGGGGTCCTTACAAAAATGTCCCACGGTGAGGCGATGGGATCCCCATGGGAAACATGGGGAATAATATGGATTTTCATGATGGTCTCTTAAAACACCAAGGCGGTCTCTTAAAACACCATGGTGTCCCATGAAAACACCATGCACAGCTAAGGAAACGCCATGGTGTCCCATGGACACCATTTTTTCCCATGGGAAGAACCCCATTATGAAATTCCAAATCACACGCTACATGGGAAATTCATGGAGTATAAAACCCATGGAGAGTACAAAACCCCATGGACCACCATAGGGAAATCTCCATGGCGATCCTATGGAACATCTCCATTGTGATCCAATGCGAAATGTCCATGGCGATCACATGGGATATCTCCATGGGATATTTATTGTAAGGGGATGGGGTGGGGAGGGGGAGGGTCTACGATTGTGTTTGACGGTGTGACGGTGTGTGACTTTTCTTGATTACATTAGGGTATACACTCAAAGACCTATAGCACACAAAAATCGTGTTCTGATATCCCCTACCCACAATATAACTCTTTTGGTAAAACTACCTTGGCAGAAGAACCAGTAGTTTGCCCATGAACCTGAATATGCTCTAGTTGTAAGGGTACACATGACCCTATTTTGTTCACTCATGGAAACCATTAGCTCACCCATCTTGGATGAAAGTGTAACGGTGGAAGTCGTCTGGGTTGGAGGTAGGCGTGGCGCGACACGTCTGCAAAAACAGCTCCAGTCCAGGCTCGCTCCAAGTACGAGCCTCGAAGTAGAGCTTGTTACCCATCGCGACGTCGACGGGGTAGTCAGCAGGCTGGTAGGGCGTGGTGTAATCGTTGCCATGGTAAAGTCTGAGGGAGAAGTTGAAGGAGCCGAAGCCATCCTCGCGGAATGTGATCTTGGAGGTATCCGGACGGAAACTGCATATGAATAGATCACAAAATTAATACTGTTACATGATTTGCAATATCTTGGTCTGAGGAGATATCTTGGTCGCAGGATTGGATTGTTAATACCTACATCTTTATATATATCTCTGCCATGTCACTTTAATTGCATCCCATCGAAGTTCAACAATCTCCAACTTTTCGTTCAGTGATTCAACATATAGGTCTTGATTAAAAATTCTTCCTGGCTAAATCGACCCAACCAAGTTCAGTAATCAGAGTTTTTTTTTTTTTTCAATTCAAATCATATTACATTTATTTCCATACTGAACAATAACATAATAAAAAGCAAAATACAATATTGTGGAGGCACAATCCTAATAAGCTAAGGCTTGTAGCGGAGTGCCTTTAGAAAAGAGAACAAAGACATTAAATAATCAAATAGTTAGTTAAGTAAGTCAAAGACAAAGATAAACAAGAGGACAAAGTAATCTGACCAGAAATAGATTTAAAAAAATGATTGGGGGAAAAAAACTGTAAAAACTGCAAAAGATGGCAACACAGGAGAACAAACCAAAGGAGAAAAAAGTCTATGCTACATATTGGGAGATAAGATGTTCCTTAAAAAACTCAGTCTCGGATAGCAACTGTGCCTGAGTCTTAAATTCCAACATATTTAGTTCAGAAGTCTCTGGCTTCCAAGGCCACCATTCAATGATCTGGAATGCCTCAATATCTATATCTCTGGTTATAACTCTGCCTGGCTCATTTGACCCAACCCATAGTAGCACTCCAAGTCCATGTTGTACAGGATTGGATTTTTATTTCCTCAGTCTCGAGTTATAACAATGTCTAGGTTATTCCAACCTACTGATCAGTAAACTCTTCCGAGAATACGATGCACTGGACTACAGACTTAGCTCGGTCTCAGGTTGTAGCTCTGTCAGGTTCCCTGAAACCCAACTAGTTCAGCCATGCAGCCCTTCCAAGTGATGGTACACTGAGATTGATTTCACTTGTCTCAGTCAATTAGCTATAGTTCTGTATGCCCGGTTGATTATTCCAGTTAAAATCACTTCAACTTGCTCAACTGGTTACAATTGACACATTTTGAACTGGAAATTGGTGACTGGTTTTGAACCGCTTTAACTTTTTTGTAAACTGGTATAACTGGTTTTGAACAAGTTGACCAATTCAACACCAGTTACCAATTTCCAAATGAAATGGTTTCAACAGGAAATTTTTGCCCGGCTTCCAATATGCGCTGGACATCTTCATATTTAAGTCTAGCTTTTTCCAACCCGTCCCAGGTCAGTCTTCACCTCCATGTCCATTATGCACCTGACTGGAACCACAGTATCTTGGTCTCTGGTTATAACCGTTCCTCTTTTCCTTCATTATTTCACTATCCATGAAACACTGGAAGGGTTTCTTCATATCTACGCCGCGGCGTATACCCCTGCCCCATTCTCTGCCACATATCCAAGTTCAGTGTTCATAGTTTTATCCCTGCCTGGTCTTTCAATCAATCCTATCTCAACAATGCATTCGATATCCATAATGCATGGACTTACATCTCACTGTATAGGTAGGTTGCTACACTGGAAATCTGTATCCCGCATTCGCGGGTTATAACCCTACCTAGTTCCTCCAGACCCACCTTATTTCAGCAATCCCTTCTAAGTCCATGATGCACTGGACTGGAATCTCGATATCTCGGTCTCGGGTTATAACACTGCCTGGTTCCACAGGGACAGCCTCATCGTGGATGACGTTGAAAAAAAGGACGCTGTCTCCACGAACCTGCCAGGAATCATATTCGAATTGAATGTCGAAGATAAACTGGGGAAGTGTAATCCACAAGCCAGCACACATGCTTTAAAATAGAATCATGAAACCCTAGGAATTTAGTGTTTCCAAGATTTGAGATTTTAGTTAATCATGACAGTAAGGGACTTTTCTGCAAAAAATACCGTGCATACTAAATCTCTCGTAATTTACCATGATGTATCTGCATTAACTTGGTCTTAAAATTGCATTTGGAAAGCATTTGGGGTTAGCCAATGGTGTGTGTATTTTGGAACTGTGTGCAGTTGCGGTTTGCACTATAATTTTATTTTACAAACTTCATTCATACTTAGCATACGAACATTTTAAGGGCTAATTAGTGTATAAGAAATAATAAAAACGTATGAAATAAGTGCATATGAATTAAATGACAGTTGACACGTTTGGACTGCTATTAAAACTTAACCTCTTTTACATACCATTGATACGCCAACCCTCACAAACGTTATTATCCTCTTCATGTCCATTAAAGCATGTGCAAAGCAACCAATGAAAAGTGCCTTATGTCACAAAAGGTTCTAATTCCATACCACACGTCACTGATCTTACAATTTATAAAACGCTTTTCAATAAAACCAAAAAATGGTCTATCAAATCAATTTGTAAGGGTTGATCAAGGAAATTGACCATGGGGGACATGGGCGTGGCCAGGATTTTTCTAGAGGGGGAAAAGCACATTTTCCACCCAAAATCCCTATACTTTTCCAGCATATTCTCGATTTATCATTTTTCGAAGGTGGGCAGGGACATTTGCCCCCCCCCCCCATTAAATTAAAAAAAAAATGACTCTACGCCTCTTTTTCTTTACTTCCCCCCTTTTTTCTTTCCCTCCCCCCCCCCCCCCCCTTGCGACGCCCATGATGGGGGAGTGGCTATTGTGAGGTCGCAAGCTCAAACTCAGCTCAAGCAAATTTCATGTTCACATTTTAAAAGCAAATATAAGCGAGATTTACTTTCAGAATTCCTTCTGCAATTACTATTTCCCCAATAAGGCAAAGTAAATACTGGAGTTAAACATGGACGAAATAAATATTTTTTTTAAAAGCAGAATATTATTCCTGAATATATACGTACCTCCATGAAAGTTCCACATCGGTCGTAGGTTGTTCCAATCTTAACGTGGGTGGCGTTATGATGACTACCGACGCACGCCGGGTCCAACAAATGCAAATGAGACGCCAGGGCATCACCAATCACAGAGCGGGGGATGAAGACCATCATGCCAGAATCAGAACAGTCCACTGAAGGCGAGAGGAGTGGCTGGGTCATACCTGGTGGATGTGCAGGCCCACCAGTCTCCTCTGTCGTGAGTTGTGTAGGCTTTTGGACGGAGCTGTCAGATTGCGGTGATGTGGTCCAATCCTCAAGCAGCGGAGTGGTATATATTGAGGTCTCATCAGTGGCTATCAGAAATGTTGCAAAAATGGCAATGATATTACATCTTATTTCCAACTGATTAGCGCTACACAATTCAGCAATCATTTCAGCTATCTTCCCCTCTCTGGTATCTTCAATATATGGTAAAAACAAATGGTTTCAGATTGTTTTCTGCAAATAAATTAGTTGAAAGTGCTAATATAAGATGAGATTTTGTTCTTAATAATTAAGTTTTTTTTTTACACAAGGTGAAAGAGAAATATTCGTTTCCGTTGTTTGAAGCAACAATGTTCCATTGCTTATTATTCTTAAACCACGTTCACTGATTCTTTTCTTCCGAATGATACAATTTCAGGTGGATTTAATGCACATGGTATACGGTACCAGTCCTATCTCTACTTCGAGAAAGAACTTCTTTCTCGTTAACTATATAGCTATCTATCCTTGTATTTGCAAATGTTCCAATACATGTGCTGCTTATTATTACTTTGGTAATCTTAGAAAACAATTACAAAGTTTGAAATTCACCATTTGGTAGAACACCGAACACTGCTCTGTAAAGGTATGGATCATTGACAGCGGCAGATGGGAGGTAGCATGGCCCTAGTCCATTTACTGAACCTTCATCAAGTAGGACATAATATTCTCGTCCCGTGGATGGAAAAGAAACTAAGGAGTCTCCAACTAAGACTTGGAGCGTGTCTGGAGCTGGGTATCTTATGTTGTAAGGAAGCCAGGTAGGAATTGATAGTGTCCACCATCCGCTGCTGTAGTAGAACTTAACATAAGGCCGTCTGAAGCTTGATGCCTTCGTTATCTGCAAATTGATTTTTTTACTTTTTAAACGTTAACCGACGCGAAGAGCCGTAAGGATGAAATGTTAATATGCTTGCAATAATTCGCACAATGGGGTCGAATGCAATCGTATTCAAGCTGTTAAAATTACAACCTCCGAATCACTTCAGTTCTAATAGATTATTGGTGTCAGTGTGTTTTTTGGTAAGAGTTACATGCATTTTGCCTATTGGTTTTTTTTCACAAAAACATGCTTAGTTAAAGTTAACATTTAAACCAATAGTATTGTGAATTGTAACCATTGATAGTGTATGGTTTTGAGCAAAAAAATCAAAGGTTCGCAGTGGATGTCAAATGATATGTGTATGCATTCCTATGTTTACCAATGATCTAAAGAAAAACACTGTTGTAAAATCAACAGTGGTAAAACAATAAATCCCAATGGTTAAAATTTGGTAACAAATTATTTATGGTTTCCAGTGATTATCATTATTCGCAATTTACAACTAATTGTTACATCGATGGTGCAATTTGTGGAACCAATATACCTTTATCATGCTGCCACCATTTCAGTCATGACACCAATATCGATCATAATGATAATGTTTTTGTGCAAAAAAAACCACGTTGATTTGAAAAGGAAATATACAAATGGCCGCAATCTGATAATGGACTATACACATCTAAATAGCAAGTTTACTTCTGAATTCTGGGATATAGAAAATTAACGGTAAAGTTAACTGAAATGCCAATGGTAGTATTCCTGACCATCATGGAGTAAATGAAGCAATGGATAGTTCAGTGGTACATGTTTGTAGGCCTACTTGGTTAACCATTGCCACGATCAGTGGTTAAACATTTACCATTGTTAGTGAAGTCACAGGGCCTGCACATTTGCAGGTTTTTTTTTCAAAACAAAGAACACCCGAAACTATAATGTGTGAAAGTTGTGAACCTCATGCGCATTGCCAAAGTAATTTCACTGTTAATGATAGTCCTTGATCAATACATTTGTGTGTCGATTGCATATCATTCTCTCAACACCTTGAAAAGTTGCATTATCGCGAGGGCAAATCCAGGGGGAGGGGGTACGGGGGCCATGCCCCCCCCCAAAAAAAACCCCATTTTTTAAGTGACGTTGCAATAAAGACAGGCACTGCGTACACCACCACCTTTTTCTCAAAATAATTTAGTAAAAATGGTCATAAATTGCCTCAGATCGCACCACAGAGCATTTAGAATATAGAATATACTCCATCTACACCTTTAATATTCACATGAAGCCATTTTTTAAATCGTGTTCCCTGAATTTACCCCAAAAAGCGATGTTGTCGCGCGTAATGGACCGATTCAGTAAGCCCCTCCCACTGCACACGTGGGCAAATTAACACGTGCTCCCTTCCAATGCCAAACTGCATTTTCCTGCCGCGCGCATCATACGCGCGTGCACGCATGTCGGACTTTTGTGCACGCATGTCGGACATATATCACGGCTGTGATTGGTCAGAATACCATTGGGCGGTGCTTACTGGATCAGTCCATTATATACACACACAAATCACTGAGCGCGTTTACATTTTTCGCGTCGCACACCATATGTTCGTTCATACAGGCGCGCGTGTTTTACAATGCCGTACGCGCGACGCTGCGGCAGTGGTGATTCAAAATCACGTATGGGTTAAATGACCTATCGCAGTGGAATTGCGTTAGAATCGCGTCAACTTGCGAAGTTTTGTCCGATTACATGATATACAGATGGACGCGGAACGCGCAAAATCTGAGACAAACAAAACTTAGTGTGGAAAAAATGGATAGGATTGTCTAAGGGGCGTGGCTAACTCGCAAACGGCGATATAGGTCAATAGTCCCTGTAAACCGTTGAATAGGATGGTGTCAGACTATTTATACGTTCCAAGCCTAATTTTAAGGTTTTTTTCCAAACGTTGTGTAAAACATCAGGTATCATTAATCACAAATTTGAAATTAGTTATCAGAACAGACTTGCATGCAATTAATTTGTAATTAACAGTGTTTCATTACTTTCATTTCTATTCGCAATTTCAAAAATGAAGATTTTTACTTCGGTTCATGGCCGACCCGTAAAATGACTATACTCAGCACAATGTCTACCTTGTAATACTCACAACTTGATCAAACCGGAAATTCCAGATGATGAGATAATGAGGCAAGTTGACAGTAGCGTTAACCCAGGCCTCAACGACGACAGGAGGGGATGCTAAAAAAAATTCATTAAGTTATAATTAATTATGTTTATGGAAATGGTCGGAAATGCCTTTACAATATTTTGAAACTATGCATTATGGCATGCTCACATACAAACACTGTACGGAAGACTATATACCAGTAGTCTGGATGGATATAGCTCGACTCGTCAGGTAATATCACCGAAATTAAAGTAAAATATATGTTTGATTACAGAACAATCTAACAACCGGCAAGGAAGATACGAGATACAAGACAGATATTTTTGCAAGGTGGTTTGTACCATCCCTAAAAATACGTATTTTTGTTTTTCTTTCCTTCTTTTTTTTTCAAAGATTGAACGTTTATGGCAACGAAATTTACAGTTTTGAAAAAAAAAAATCTTACCAAGACCTGCACAATCCAGAAATGGAGTTGTTGTTGGCTCCAAAGACGAAGATGCAGTACCTATATTACCAGAAAATTTAGCAAATAAATGCACTGGTACGTCCTACTTATTTTGATAATCAACAATATATTTTAACTGCTATGGCAATGTCACAGATACATCAACATACGTTCAGGCATATCAACGAACGCAATATTCTAGTTACAAAAAACATAAGTTCTAAACCTTGGACGAGGATTAGTAATCTACCAATTCTCACGTAAAGTTAATAGTATACAAATATATTATCGTTTGAGGGTGGACAGTCGATATTCGCTCTCCGAGGTATTGGAAGTTGACAAACTAGTTCCCGAGGCGAAGCCAATGGAACTAGTTTGTCAGCTTCCAATACGGAGGGGAGTTAATATCGACTGTCCACCCGAAATAAACCATGTTATATTTGTTTTACTATACCTCATACATATTCAGCTGCCGATTTTTTTCTTTGCAGTATGCACCTAAACTATTGGAGAAACTTGTCCAGCTCACAAAAAGACTATTACTGCTCACGTTCGTTCGCAATACAGTTCGTTCGCAATATAGTAACTGCAGTTGTAAATACAGCAGTTTGTGGACAACTTTCTTTTGTACAGGAGGCGTCTTTACTGTCCAAATTTCCAGTTCGGCATCATTTAATAAACATTTGTAACTTCATTTGTAACTCGCTTGGGTGATGCTCGCGCGTGCGAACTACACGCGTGCGACAGTTCCACGATAGTCTGGTTCCCAGACCAAATTCCTGATGAATCTTAGGTCAGGCAGCCTCCGTGGCTAAAAATAAACATGACGACATTGATGGCCCTTTTGCAAAGCTAGGCTTCGTTTCCGATTTTGCTTTATCGCTTGTTGCTTTTAATTTTTTAAATAGATCGCTTGCTTTTATATCATACAGTTAAAATAATACAGTTTGATGTTTCTGTAAGATAATATTGACTAATGTTGGTCTGGAATCTTCAAAATTAGGCACCCAAATACCACTGTTAGCAGGCGGAGCCGAATGAAGACCGAGTTTTGGAAAATCTCGGTAACGGTCGTCAAATTCAAAATTGTACATGACGCAGCAAAAATTTCGCCCATACGATCCGAGTTTATTCGACTCGCAAAATCGTCGTTGAATTTCAAGTTTTGTAAATGAAAGCAAATAATATTAATTATCAACTCATTTAAAATAAAATTAATAAGCAATTAGCAGTTAATTAAACCTATATTATATACTCGGAAAAACTCGGGCGCTATCCGATTGTCGACGAAACGACTTCGGCAAACTTCGGAAATTTCTGGAAAAAGGAGGAATTCCTGCCGTTTTTGTCACGTGACGTAAATTGTAATACAATGTTTTACCAGAGGCTACTGGACCTAAGATTCATCAGGAATAGTCAGAATCTTTTGGTCTGGGAACCAGACTAAGTTCCACGATTGCTTTGTCAAGCGCGCATGCGTAGTAGACTGTCGCACGGGTAACCCGTGCAACCAACCTCGTCCCCAGTGCTTACTTTATTTCAAACCTTGTTTCCAATGGTAAGCCCTGGATAGGAAAGTTTCTTTCTGTATCCTGATTCGATACCGCAATTGGCTAGTAATGGATTCATATGTTGTAGTTGTGTTGTTATTTTCCAACGTGCATTACGTGTTTTCACGATCATTGTAATTATAACGTCCACGCCTTCTCAAAATTACTCCTTTCCTTTCCAGTTTGCTCATAATAATATGAAATGTAATACTGCATATTGGCGGGCCGTATTGTAACATTTTAACTTCCAGACAAATCGTGTTTTCATAATTTACGGCGCGCGTGACAAATTGATGCTGTTTTCACCACAGACAACGCATACAAAACAAACTCTAATGTAACGCACACTAGGCACCAGACTTTTTCTCACTTGCATACGTGTTCATTTGTATGAAGCCCGGGAAGGGACAGGGTGAAATTTTTTTTTGTCATTTGCTAATTCGTTCCCACGAATTACTAATTCGTTCGCACGAATTGCTAACTCGTTCGCACGAATTGCTTTTTCGTTCGCACGGATTGCTATTTCGTTCGCACAGTAACGCGTTAGTTATTCGTGGGAACGAGTTGGTAACTCGTGGGAACGAATAAGCAATTCGCGGGAATTTGCAATTCGTGCGAACGAATTAGTAATTACCAAAACAAAATTGCACCCTGTCCTTTCCCGGGCTTCATACATTTGCACATGCAAATGACCAGGGTGAGAGAGCAGGTAGTGATGGGCGCGTACTACTCAACACCCTGGGGACGAGGTTGGCCGTGCAACAGTCTGCTATGCATGCATATTTACCCTGTGCGTAAATCCTTGCGCGCGCTTGGTAAACAGGAAAAAAAAACCATCTGGCACGTGATGGTGAATTTACTAGTGACAGTTCGGCTCTAGATCATGAATATGTATGGGGGCTATAGAAATGGCATTGAAGATTAAAATGTTACATTGTTTAACGCATGATACAATGTTAATGAGTAATTTCAAAGTTTATATCCGTGTGGGTGTATGAGCTTGTTCCTGCATTCAATAGGGGACGGTGAACAATATAGGACAAATAGGGTTCCGAATTACCGAAAGGTCCCCAAATTGGATTCGTGTACAAGACAAATGGGAGGTCTTACTAAAAAATTAGGGTACAAATAAAATAGGGACAATAGGGGGTCCCCGATTGCATCCAAATGTACATTTGCGTTTGTTTATGGTGTATATCGAGGACACATAGTTTGCGTGCAACATCATCGAGGACTGGAACAAAATCAAGGACGACTTCGGTTAGAAAACGTATACAAAACCAATGAGAGCTGTTGCGAAAAAAAGTTCAAACAATACAAAAAACACATAAAAAAAACCCGTGTGCGCGCTTGAGTGTTTTGTTTGAGGCAACAACCTTCCGTTATTTATGAACATTGAATAACTGAGTCCGCTGGCAAATTTTCTTGAACCAGCTTCAAAGATTTTCTTCGTCTGAATGAGATTATTTCAGGTTAAGTTAATGCACAAGTTACCAGTCCAATTGACCTTTCACCCTTTAAAATTCGCTTCCGTTATTATTATTGCACTGTTGTAATGTTTATCACATTTGTTTGTCCTTTTCTCTAATTGTTTGTTTGTACTTAATTTTTTTTCTAAAGGTTCGTCTACCGTGTGAGTTGTTATGTATGTGTACATGCACTATGTTAAAGCTTCGGCTTTTGTTTGCATGCCTCCATCAGTAAATGTTTTCATTGTTTTGTATTATAATCAAATGTTGTGAAAAGATGGAAATAAATGTTCTTGAAATTGAAAAATTAAATTGAAAATCGGTAGGTACTTATCCTTGTAATGTATCTACAGGGCGTCCTGGGGAAAAAATGGTGTATGAAAATCACTCCATTATTGCTAATTTACAACCAATTTTCAAATTGTTTTAACATTAGAACAAAACCCTATTGTCGTGTGAATGGAATGTTTGTCTTAAACCCATAGGGATAATCTTATCAAAACAGCCATACTGGCATTGTCTGATCTTTGAAGCACTCGCTTCCTAAAAGTGGCACAAAATTGTTTTTGTTTTTGTTTTTGTTTGGCTTTGCAGTTATTCAAACATATTTATGCAAACGGTATTCTCAAGCTAAATATGTAACCTTGAAGATCGTGTAAACATTTGCAGTCACTTCCGGTTGTAAATTGGTGAAAATTTACACGCACCTTTATTTTCAGGACACCATGTACATGAACTGCCTGTTATTAGTTATCTGAGAAGAAAATGGAAAAGTTTGCTATTCACCACTTGGCAGAGTCCCATACACGGCTCTGCAAAGGTATGGATCACTAACAGCAGCAGATGGTAAATGGCATGGTCCTGGTCCATTTACTGCACCTCCATCAAGTAGGACATAGTGTGCCTGTCCTATGGGCGGGAAAAGAGAGCCGACGTAGGGCCGTACCAAAACTTGCAGCGTGTCTGGAGCTGGGTATCTGATGTTGTAAGGAAGCCAGGTAGGAATTGATAGTTGCCACTTCCCGTTGCTGTAGTAGAACTTAGCATAAGGCTTTCTGAAGCTTGAGGCCTTGGTTATCTGCGAATTTGTTTGAATTTGTCAACTGTAACGAAAAAGAGCAACGGAAAACAGCGACAGAAAGGACGATAGTTTAATGTGCATGCACTATCTCTGATAAAGGGCAAACTTGTAATTTAATGCAAGTGTTTATTAAATCTCAGACTTTTAATCCCTTCAGATAAATAGGTTATTATTATGTTGTATAAGTGTTATTAGAGTTATCTAGTCACATGAAATATCACATAAACATCATTGTTTAATCTAATAGTTAGAAATAGTATTATAAATGGCAACTTTACAGACAAATCTGTAAGGTTTTACTGTAAAGTGACCATTAGTTGTGTGTGACTTTCAAGGATAAAATTAATAGTACTCACTGTTTATTACTGGTATTGCATGTATTTTACTGGTGTGACTACCTCGGTGCCTAGTATACTCACATCTTGATCAAACCTGAAATTCCAGATCAGGATGTAACCGGGCAAGTTGACTGTAGCATTAGTCCAGGCCTCAACGACGACAGGAGGGGATACTAAAATGTTATAGAAATCTATCAGTAACTTTGGTTGGAACTGATAAAGAAGATTTGATATGTGACTTCAAAATTTGAATTAAAACATGTCTCCTGTATAACACTTTCGAACTTATGCATACACGCACATTATTATGGACTAAGACTACTCTATTACATCGGAAGGCTATAGCTGGGCTGACCAGGCAATATTGAAGTAAACCACATGTTTGATTGCATAACGATGTAAGATGGCGTGCTTGAAAATTTGAAGAAATACAAAATTTATGGTATTAATAGTTGGGTGACTTAATGTTGTCATAATAAACTCCACTACCAGTGAGGGTGAAATTTTTAGATGTAATATTTTGCAGACACAATTTTATCTAAAATGTGCTGGTTGAAAGATTGAAAGTTCAAAGTTTCTGTTTTGATTGTTGGCTGTAAAAACATACACTCTTACCAACACTTGCACAGTCCAGAGCTGGAGTCGTTGGCGGCTCGACGGACGGAAATAAGGTTACACCTACATTATCAGAAGAGTTGCCGAATAAATGCACTGGTTGGCCTACATCTTACCTCTTCTTATAATTGCATGTTATATGTGTTATTAATGCTGTGGCAACGTGACAAAGACATAAAAAGTTCAGCCGTGTACGTAATGCGACCTAGAAGTAATTTCCTCAAATAATTCTATACTGGAGAGTTTTGAGTTTTGAATTGGGGAATTGAAGACAAAATGCACTGCACCTCTGGCCTGGACTTATACGTCTTCCAATTCAGAGCATTTTGGGTGCCATTTGGTAAAAAGGAAGGGCTTTATTGTCATAGTGTGGAGAAATCGTGTTGTTTCTAAATGGTTAGATCTAATTGGTTTCCCTTATATCTGTACCTCTTGTTGACTTTAGGCTTGATTGTAAAACAATCCGAGTTCATCAAAAATACTTGAATACTTACTAGCAATATGCAGAGAACGATCCCGTGCTCGCAAGATGTTAGGGTTATTTAGAGCTGCTGAAGGGAGGGAACAAGACCTTGGTTCGGATACAACACCCTCATTCAGGAGAACGTACTCTTCCCCTTGTTGGGATTCATACCACCCCTGCTCAGCTTGCAGGACATCTGGGGGAATATAATTAATGCGAAAGAAATGAGCATCACTTGGTGTTAAGCCATTCACTCTTAATTTGTTGACATTCTAATTTGGGAGCATTCACATAAACATGTACAGCAGTCTTCAAAGATAATACACGACCTTTTACAAAAAAAAGAAGCGCATACCTCCTACAAGAAGAATTACACACTTCACCTCACTTCTCTGGCTGAAAGGGAAGAAAACAAACATAAAGTCAGCGTTTTCACGAAGCCTGGGACAAATTGGACCACGGGGTGTTGAACAGTGGTTTTGGGAAAACGGGTTTTAAGTTTGTCACTTTTTAACATAGAGAATTCGCGTATTTTGGAGCACATGCCGACTAACTTTTGATACAAATAGTAAGCTGAGATCTTATACTACAAATATGTACCAATCACAGTATAATAGAACAATCCATAGATATTTGACTGTTCGTGAAAACTCAAAATCCCACACGCCTATTGTTTTCAACGTAAAAGCAGATAATGTCGTGTCTAGGTTTTATTAAATGTCTATGCAATTGACCTATCGCTGTTTGCGAGTTAGCCACGCCCCTTAGACAACCCTATGGAGTTGTTGTACACTAATTCTGTTAAGCTCAGATTTTGCGCGTGCCGCGTCGATTTGTGTAACATATAAATGGATAATATTTCACAAGCTTCGTTGACGCGATTCTAATGCGATTCTACCGCGATAGGTCATGGCCTTCCTGATGGCTTGGCCTTCCTCAATATCGATCCCGTTGCTTGGAACATTTACAGTTGAAGTATCCATGATGTGTTAGTATAGGGTATGTATGGTGGTGGATGGTGTCCTCGACAAAATACTGTTTCGTAATTAATATGTCGTCTTTGCATTTTCACTATTTTCTTTAAAAATCAAATACCCAATGAGCGGAAACATAAACAAGTTAGGATTTTAGCTCTTTGGATTTTCATTGGTAGTATTATTATTAGAATGAACGACAAACTAGATTACGAGGCATCTAGGCATTATACTGATGTTAGATTTAAAACCATCTTACCCATTTGAGTCCAAGGCATTGAAGCACATTATATGAGGTCCTATTTGGCTTGTGTCTGGTATCCACTTTGACACAAAGAGACGGTCAACAGAGCCATTGTCAGATGATATCACTGGTGTTGTTTTCATACCAACGGGTGAGGTTGTTTCGAGAGCAGTTATACTGCAACATTAAAGGGTGACATGGATCACCTTTATAATTGCAACACCAATTTTGGAAAAGACATAATTTTCTGAGCTAATATTAGGAGTGCTGCAACGAGGCACTTCGTGTTTGGGGGAAAGACATGATTCACATAAGGTAAAAACAAGATGACATTTTTTTAAAATGTTTTTTTACAATTTTGAATGCTTGATTCAAAACACAGGTTCTCAATGTGTTCAATCTATAAGATATTTGTACTGTTTGTAGAGTATGGCAGTGTTACAAATATCACTCAAAAATACTGCCTATCCGTAGGTACGTACACTATTGTTGTTGACCCCACGTAACGTGAGAGATATTGAGATTGTGCTAAGACTATCGATCGTTGCCGCTACTACAGTGTCAGCAGGATACTCACGGAGCATCGGCTTCAAACACGCCAATTTCAAATTTGAACGTAGTCGCCCCAGGCACTAGATTGTAGCATTGACTGTGTGTCGGCGTAGGCGAGAATCGGTCGTCAAGCCTCGGCAATGGGGCGCAGGTCAAAGTGTCTCCGACATAGATGTTAACCAGGAATTGTAAAGGAACTTTGCTCTTGGCAGTGGGCGAGGCTTGCGTGGTGAAGTCTTCGATGATAAGGGCGATGGCATACCATCCTGAGTCATCAATTGCATTGATGGATAAGACACAGTTGCTCTAGCATAGCGTAGCAAATGAAAAAGGATAACGTTATAGCTCTCCTATCATGGGAAGTTAAATGTGCAAATCATTATGGAAACCCCTTTTAATCGCTTGGGGTCCGTTTCAGGTGAAGTGGGTAGCAGTGAAGCAAGATTGAAACCACCTTAATTGCCCTGATTTTATAATTGACAACACAGTCAAGATAATGTGGCAGGGATTTGAAACGTTATCCATACTCCACTGAGGATTACAAAAAAAGAATTTGAAGTGTGGGTGTTAACTGGGACACTGTGAAGTGCAAACGACAGGTAGGTGATGTAATCAGCACTCTTACATGAAATGCATACAAAGATACATGTCCAAACAATCACAATTTCTGCAATTTGTGGTTGCGATCTATAAAGTACTGTAGAGGGAACTTATTGGGCTCTTGTCCTCTAAATCCGGCAAAATGCAAGAAAAGGGGACAACCACACGGGGTTTTCAACTTCTGAAGACACTCTATATATTCCGCAACAAGAACTCTGTGGTCAACCTGCCACTAGAGCTGCTACCACGACTGATCATTCCCAGCATAGAAAAACACACAGTCTGAAAAAAATGTATACAACTGTAACAACTTTACCCAATCCTGGAATCCAGCTAAACCCGCGAAGTTAGTGAACAAAAGAACCCCGCATAGGGAACCTATGTATTGGGCCTACATTTCTGGAGCGCGCTAACCAGACCCAAAACCAGGTCAGGTACGGTACGTGCGCGCCGCCAGGGCCCCTCCGCCGGAGCCCTGGTGAAAGAAAGTAATGACAACAAAAGTGCTGCATAAACAGTCCGTTACAATACGGTACATACATCCTGAGCTTGGAGGAGGATAATCAAGTTCCAACTTTATACTAGAACTGCATGATATATTTCAAAACTGTAATTTGTTGGTCTTTGTGTTTGGCTTTTCACTTTACCGTATGAATACTGCCAACAGTAAATGTACATTACTCCACTGCATTTTAACTACAAAAGGAAAACGCCGGGAACCATTCAACAAAAAAAATATCATCACACGCTAAATAACAGGAAAAATGGTGTGTTTTGAGTCTTTCAAAGTCCACTGCTTACAAATTACGTGTGCACGACATGTGAGTCCATATTGACTTGAGGACTACGTATGCCTACTTTAAAAGTCTCACCTGATCCAGAATGGCATTTTTCATTGGAGTGACACTTCCCCCTTCCGCAGAACTCGAAGGCCAACGACACTTGACAACATCTCCGTCGGGATCCACAACTGTAGCAGTAAAAAAAAAGACAGCTGATTTAATCAAGCATAAGAAGATCGACCGGTATTTTGGTACAGAAGATTAAACGATTGCTCGTATTCCTTTTGTCTTTATTGAGTAATTTATCATAATGAGGCAGTTATCAACAACGCGTGGTGCCGGTGGCAGTGTCAGTAGCAGTGACAATATCTTTCAAACCAGGATAAACTCAACTATAGAAAAGCTGGTCCCAGAGCGCACACAATTATATTTTACCTATTCGGAATGGCTATTTAAAGTCTTTCGAAACTACCAATTATAGGCATTCAATTGGCTCCATTCATTGATTTATTTGGTAACTAATCTACAGAGCCAAAGTGACATTTAAGCAGGTTTATAACTGGCAAGTGACAGTCGGTGAGCTAGTCAGTGAGCTAGGCAGGTTCCAAAAGACTATGGCTTCGATGACAAAACCAAACATAGGAATGACAGAGGGGACTACTGATTACATGCAATCGATGTCTTTAATGTAAGATGGTAGTAAAATTGTTTACCTGGAATGCGTAGAGTATCCTTGCATCCCTGCTGAATGCGGACGACGGGCACCCATGATGTAACAGGCGATGAGTTAATGACCCCGTCATGAGGCGTCAAATCCACATGAGCCTGGGCGCTGTAGACTTTCCCCGCATTGCCAAGCGGTAGCCAACAACAGCCGGAATATCTGTAAGTGCCAGACGTTTCATACAAACACATCATTTAATTAATAGATCCACCGAGCCGCGCTCTATAAATTTTTACCAATCACTGCGGCCACGCCTCTATACCCACCTGATGTCGAATGTAGTCAACCCTGGTTCTATGGTGAACCTGGTGTGACCCACGCCCGTCTGCCATTCCTCAGCCAGACTGTGGTCCGTGCATTGGTACTCGATTCGTGCTATCCGTGACTGGCTGCACTGCTCACATTCAAGGTACTCGCCCGTGTCGATCAATGTACCAGCAATGTAAGAATTGTCGCATACGTTATTCGGGCTCGTGTGGTGGTACCAGAAGCGCCACTCGACATCGACCTTTACAACAACAAAGAAGAGAATGAAACAGTAGCGGATTTTAAATGGGTTTGCAATTCCCCCAAACCCTTCAGCCGCTGACTGATGATTCTAATAATGGGATCAAACTAATCAATGGAATGCTTATGTTTCCAAATTTCTCCTCAGATGAAACACGAGAGAAAGCGTCGTAGACTTCAAAATTTGGGGGCATTCTCCCAGACCCCCTAACATTCATCCAACCCCCTTTTCACATCGCCCCACAGTCAACCTTAACCCAAGTGCACCGTGTTTTTTTATTGATTCAGAAGTGTTTCCATGAATCTGGCCAACACCATGGGCCTGAACAAGATATAGTCCTTCATTGGCTTTACTATAGTCCTATATGATAGCACTAACTGGTTGAGTCAATTTATTTTCTGGATTATTTAATTCTTTTGATAATTAAACCAGGATTCCTCAAAAGCGCCCTAGACACTGTAGCTCGCAAGCCTGAAAAAACCTGTAGAGAGAAGACAATGAGAAGCAAAACACTCGTCATATAAGATGTCGTATTGTTTATCATTATCGTAAAAAAATACATGTAGGCCTATACTCATTTTCATTATACATGAAGCTAATTTTAGTTTGTCTTGTAATGGCGTTACTACAGAGACTCCTAAAAGGTTGGTTATCAAACCGAACAATATGTATTTGGAACGTTCGAAATCTAGCAGTGTGCTATCTCAACTATTCAGCCAAGTCATAGCGACGCGCACTTGACTTAATGTGCCAATTACGAAACCATGCAAGTTATCACGTTATCAATCAGTTTTAACCATTATGACTTTGTCAATCAAAACTCGACATTTTAAACCTCGGATGAAGTTCCGTGTGGACTTATCCACGGTTGCGTAGACACATTAGAAGGATGTTTGCAATCATCTTTCAGAACAAACCAAAGCTTTCATGGTGCAATATATATTAAATAAAGGTAATACTATATAATAAAGTGGCCTTCGGTTACTTATTAGTTGGTTGAAATCAGTTGAATCGGGTATAGCACAGTTACAATGTACATTTTACGAAAGACCCTTCAAATGAGGCAGGCAATGTCCGTCATTCAGTAGTTCCTCTGTATAGTAACTGGCAAAATGGTTTCGCGTTTGAAGAAATGCTAGGTCTGGGGTAGAAGATTTAGTGGTTTGTTAAGTCTAGCAATAGTCAAATCGCCTTAATTATCACTCGATCAACACCCCCTGCCTAAAAATATATAATTTACGTGTTTAGTCTTTGTTAGCCGTTTGGATGGCAGGTTTTCTCCACATACGTTAACATCAGACAATCATATGTATTTTTTTCAACAAAAAGCGCTAGCAGGAATACATATTTTACTGGTAACCACTAATGGTCAATTACAGAATTAGTTACGTGACATGTTTTCAAAATGTAAAAACATTGTTGGGCAATGTTGGCCAAAATGAGTAGAAATAACCTATTTTTAAACAACTGTTGATCAATTCGAGTTATAATTTACCAATCTTTGGGAAGAAAATGCAACAGAGTGTTGGCAGTGTCATTTTTCGAACTGATATTTTGAGTGGGGGAACAAGTGGTCATAGACAAGCAAATGTATGAGTGACGGGCTATAAGTGAATGGCCAATAATGAGAATGTCATACACTGCAAAACAATTAGAATAGCAGCCAGTCCGTACTAAGCTCAAAAATAGTAACAGCTATCGCCCTAAAGTAGGCGCAGCCTCCCATATTGCCTCTACAAACCCCATAGCTCAGTTTGGCTCCCGATCCAAGCATCCACATTATTACCGTACTTTTTAGCGCTCGGTACCCATGGGTTTGTTAATGACTTTCTTAATTGATAAATCATTTCAGCAACAGATCTCTTCTTATACCAGTACAAATACACATTTGAATTTCATTTTTATTCTTCAAGGCTCAGCGTATAAGCCGCCCTGTGTATAAGCCGCAGTAAACATTTTCATGCGCAAATTCAACATATAAGCCGCGGATTATATTCCGAAAATTACGGTAATATTTAAAATGCTTCTTCGCTGATATGCATAACCCTACCCCCACCGTCTCTGACTTCCAAGATCTTACCATTACCCAAGTAACTCAAGCGGGGTCACGTTCCTGGGCACTGTATTATACATTTATCTATCTATTTATTTATTTTATTAATTATTTGGAATGTGCTGATTAGCGTCCCTGGCGTTTACACCCAAATAGGAATGTCGTTAATATCTTTCATTTTGTCTGCCATTGAAAGGCAGTAAACAAAAAGGCGGTAACAAAAATAGCTACAATCCCGGCCATAGCGCAAAAACTCGATGGGCCCCCACCTTCTTCCAATGTTGTCACTCATTGTGCGGTGTGTCCTCTATCAGCTGGAAAGAATTGACCGGGGAGCGGGGGAGTAGGGGACCATGGGAGAGTATGGTTGTTGCCAAGTGTCCCAACCATTTTGGCCAGGATTGTAGGTTGCTTTTACGGAACGACACTTGATCAATGGGCAGCATAATTATGCTCCCGTTACGCTTTTCAACAGGATGCTTATTTTGCTGGTCCGAGAGAACACAGGTTAAGTCATTTCTATACCCGACTGAATAACTAGATCTAACTTACTGACAAAATTATTATGGACTATAATATGTGCACTATTGACTATTCATCGCGTATTCCAGATCTTAGACACTGACCTGAGACTCGTATTCAGTTGCTTTCCAAGATATAGTTAACCCTCTGTAATGGGACGATTGGACCTCCCCAAAGTGGTATCCTTGAAGAAAGAATGCAACTAGCAGGGCTTCAAGCAAACCACCCATGATTGTAGACGGACGGAACATGGCGCTGCTTCGTGCACGATTTCTACTTTTGACAGTTTCGGATTTCTAAACCACCTATAAACTGGATATACTACCATGTTATATATTAACCCGGATTTGATGGAAGCAATTCAAAGTTTCTCTAGTAACTGAGGGGAACCATTTATCACAGAAGGGGTAGCATTTTGAACACCTGTTACTTAGAAATTGAACACGGAAACAGCTCCATCCCAAATAAAGAGTGAGTAAAAAAAGCGGAACCAAAACTATTTTAAACTAACAAAGTTATTTCCTTCAATGCGCGTTTTGTAGCTCATTCCAGGACGCAGTGTCCCTTTAATTTGAGTCAAAACATTGCTGCATTCGTATTCGCTCGTACCCTGCCCTGCAAACAGGACGCTGGGATAGGTTGGGTTAACTGCATTATTCTCTGTATGGATAAATAGTTCGTCGCCTGGGTCCGAGATCACAAAGCAGAACACATGCAGCAGTGGTCGTTTTATGAACAAAATACAGGCAGACACTGACAGGGGTCGAGTTGCAATTCACGATCTAATACAATTTGAGCTTGAGACTCGCCTGGCCGACGGATCGGACGGTACGAATTAATTTTGAATGAAATGTATCGATTGAATATCTTGAATACTTGAATAATTGAATAATGTTCTTATACATTTTTTTCAGTGATGAATCGATTAAAAAGAGGAATAAAATATTTTATTCAATTTTTGATATTAATATAAAATAACATTATAACATTTTATTATGAATAAGACAATAAATATCCTTGGACAGTTATTATCTTGAGCATAAAAATTGTATGACATTGGGTTAACCACACGTAGGGAAACCCCTGGCCAATTTTGTTTTTAGTACAAAATTTATGTTGCACTACAATGCGAGGATTAATTGACCGGAGATGTACATGTGCAAGAACATGAACATGGTTAGTTTTACACATTGAGAAGGAACACGCATGGGCATGCAGAACTGAAATGAAAAAACATACAAAATAAAATTATTTTCCTACCTACCTACCTGGTTTTTTAGGCCGTTACCGTAAACACACCATTTTCTTTGTATGGCCAAAAAGTAAATAGTAACCTGATTTTTTTTTAAAGGACAAAACTGTGATGGCCCTACAGCCAAAAATCTTTCTCATGACGTACTCTCACTGTGTTCCCAATGCTTTATCATCAAATGAACAAACAGTCTTATCACCTATTTGCCGCAGTTAAACACAGCGTGAGCTATCGCTAGCCTACTACGTAAGATTCAAGAATGAAGGTGGGTACCATACTTAGTTCTTCCTTTACTTAAGCCCCATTAATGACTAGAACTGGGTATTGAACAATATTTACTGTGTGTTGGAATGAACAATAATCAGCTGTTTTACTTATACTCCCTGTTTAATTTGTAAAACAAAAACACAAAGGAAAGAATGTAGTATCCAGACGCCACTTCTGTGGTTGTGTACAAAGTATATGGAGAGTTTAATGCATTTTCAAAGTACTTTCTAACAAATTTGGAATTGTTTCTCAGTCCAAGATTCATGTATTATCAATATTTGTGCGATGACTAACATTCTTTGAAAAAAAAGAGGCGTCAGGATGCCACATTCTTTCCCGCTCAAGAAAGAGCCGTTGGATCCCTAATACACGAAATTGTCGGCGAGTCACAATAGCTCCCGTACGTGAACGAACTCATGCACACAACTTTCTCGACAAGTCAAACCACAAAAATCTGTTCAAAAGAACGGATTTCATTCACATTTGATACTCAAGAAATGTCCTGCATGTTCTGAGAACATGGACTCAACAAGTAGCGTCCACAAATTGATCACTGCCAACGACTGAAATGAATAAAATTCTTTATGACAAAAGTGAAACTTACAGTACGTATGCAAAGGTCCAATGCTGGCGAGAGAGTTTTGCACGTACGGTCATATGCACGTAGGCCATGGCGAAGTCGTTGCGTAGGACTGTTAGGCTCTGCCCAAAATTTAGTTTAGTAGAGAGCTGTAGGCCTAAACAGTAATTGTAAAATTTAAGTTGCACTAAGAGTATTAAAAGGATAAAGTGTACCAGAAAAATTTCAGGCTTTAAATTGAAGATTATAATTCTAAAATGGTATATAATATTAATTAACCGAAAGCATGTAGTCGACGGTGCGCCTACTGTAAACAAAGTAGACTGGTTACAAGTCCTAAAGTCTCATGCATATGCACTGATCTCTATATAAAGAGAGCAGTGCCCGCATGCCAAATAAATGAGGCAAAGGTTGTTTTGAGTGTAGTGCAGTGGACATACATGACCCTGTTAAGGGGGGGGGGGGGGGGTTGTTCGCAACAAAACAAAACATGTAGGAAGATATTTTTGGCCGGCTGGGAACATTCAAAAATTGAGCTAGATAAAAAGAAGGTGGTGGGGGGGGATTACAGTATACATTCCAGTTCGAGAGGATGACTAATTACCTTTCATGTACACGTGAATGAGTGTGGCGGGGGGGGGGGGCAAGGGTCCTCTCCTGGGGGCCCGGACAAGCACAATAAAAAAATACACGCCCTCAACCTGCACTGACAATTAGTGAAAATACAAAAAAAATGTGTTCAAACAAAGAAAATAAAAAAGCAATCAAACGACATTTGCAACAACATTAATTCGACGATTTATTTATCTATTAATTTCTACGCAATTGACATGTTAGCCGTGAGTAATTAGCTCGTGAAAAATTATTGGTTAAACGATAATTAAAAAATGGCAATGTTTTTCTCAACTTTTATGACTATACTATATCAATGCAACATTGCTGATGATACAAATTTCATTCATTTTTATTAGGGAAGCTCACAAATCGTGAGCCACTTAAGTCGCAAGTTTCAGCTAGTTTTTTTCTCACCAAATCGGCAGGGCATATGCTTTAATTTTCGGGTAATTAGCCATTTTTTCTACTGCTAATATGAAGAAAAAAGGTGAAAAAACTAAATTAAAAAAACTTTAGTCACAATTATCGAAACTGATTAATTTTGCCAAACGAGTTTGAAGAAAAAAATATATGCTTACTACTTTACTTAGCCAGTTATTTTTATTTGAACACTTTATGTTAATATTGAAATTAAGGACAACTTAACTGACAGACTGCACTGTGTATAATTTTGCTGCATTAAATTAACTTCTATTGAATATCACCCATGCCTAACAGCATATAAGATTCCTTTGAAATCTTCTTTAAACATAATTTAAAAATTTTGATGAATGATTTCCTTTTATGAACTAAGACTAGACTAGTAGACAGTTCCTGTGTCTAGTTTTCTTCAGTGGCCAGTGGCGAGTACAGTTGAAGGCGTTGGGTGCGTTTACGCATCACGACAATCAGTGTGCCGAGTACCAGCACGCAGCCAACCAATAGGCAGACAGTAGTCAGAAGGATTGGCAACTGAACAGACGACAGCTCACTTCCTTCTGAGAAAAAAACAAACACGTACAAATGCTAATATTTTTTAAGCAGGAACTTAACACAAAATGCCAATATCTGACTCAACCTATTCAACAGTAATGCACATATTTTGAATTGTTGGCACATCCTTTAAACCCCACCCATCGTTGTCCATCCCAACCTGACCATCCCAGAACATCCACCCCAATTGCACCCAATTGCCTGCAATTGGGGACCCCCTGTTGTCCCTCTTTTGTTGACCTCCAATATGTTTTGTACACGAATCCAACTTGGGGACCTCTCGGAAATTGGGGACCCTATTGTCCTCTATTGTTCAACATCCCCTATTGAATGCAGAAACAAACTCGCATTCTCATCACACACATCCCAACCAAACCTGCAAAGCCCATCCCTGCCTATACCCTTTCCCCACCCACTCTACCCTACCCTATTCCTACCAACAAGGCTCAACATTCTTTATACATGTATGCTCAGTCATGTATGCCATCAACCCAATATTTAATCAGACTAACCCACACCACCCTACACTATCCCATCTACTACATTCCACCCCTCTATTCCAACAGTACTCTCTACACAATTCATCCCTTAACCCCACTCCATCCCACCCACAACAAATTAAGTCCCATTTCACACTGCCCTATCCCACCTACCCTGAACCTAATTCACCATAAAACACTTCTCCCTACACAATCCATCCCTAAACCCCACTCTATCCGACCTGGCCCACCATACCACACTGCATACTACCCTATCCCACTTACCCTATACCAACTCTACCCCTCCCTATTTGCATATTCTTCCTTCCATTCAATCTCCACCTTCCATTCGACAGTCCAACCCTGTCCACCACACACACAATCCCACTGCATATCACCCTATCCCACATACCATGTACCCTACTCAAACACTTACAGTTCCCCTCCGTACCTAATCCTCCCTAAATCTTCCTCTCCATCCCACCCAGCCCACCACACCTAGTCTAATTGCACACTACCCTTCCCACCTACACATATCCTGCCCTAACCTATATCCACCAACATCATTCTACTCGTCCCTACCCAATCACTACACTCCCTTATAAACCCTTCCAATCAATTTATCCCTGCAGCACATCCAATGTCTCCCTACCCTCCCCTTCCACCCTGCCCCATCCCACCAACCTCATCCCAACCTACTCATATCACCCACCCTATCTCTCTGCCCCCTCCCTGTCCCACCCACAACTACACTGTACATATTACACCAGGCTTGCATCTTGAGTGCAGAAAAACATGCAATACAAAATCAGGCCGACTTACATACTGACTCTATAGTTAACACATTTCTCCAAAATTTTCATGAGGCAAAGACTAGGTCCTCACTATCTCACCATCCAAGTTTGAGGTCTCAAATCAAGATTGACAGGAGACATTTATTCAACACTGAGCACCTATTCTACTTGAGGCTAAAGGGCAAGGCTAGACTGGTTCATGTCCAAAAAGACTGACCCTTCAGTAGGTTGGTGGCATGACTTCGTGTAGAAATAAATAATGTGTAGTAATAGCCACTGGGTATCAGATGTTTCTTTTGACACAGTTAATTGATGCAGTACTAAAGGGGTGTTGGACTGGTTGTTTCATATGTCAGTCTATTGTACTGCATGTTTTTACTATCTTATGTTTGGCACTCTCAAACACAGTAGTGAGAGTCCCAAACATTTTGACTAACACTTACACCCTACCATCCTACCCATCCCCACCCTAGTCATGCTCCATGTTTCATAGCCTACCCCTCCTCCTTTCCCTACCTTTCCCCCCATCATCCATCACGGATATGGGTCCCTGCGTGATGGCATATGCGTGGGAACCAGACGAAGATCTGGCATGGCGTCTGTGCACACCGGGGAGTAAGTTCATGCTTCTAGTGGGACATCCGATGGCACAGTGCGAGGATGCATCAGTGGAGTTACAAAGAACCATGTCACAATGGACGTACACCTATAAAGAAGGAACAGATTTGGAATTTAGATAAAAACTTGAGACATTAAGTTACAACATCTAGGTCCCTAGTATTCAGATGGAAAAGAATAATTTGTCTCTGTGTGCATCAACTACAATCATTAGCCTCAGTCCCCCCTTGAAACTCTTGGCTTTTTAAATCTGAGCCCACTGAGATTTTGAAAATCCTGCTGACCAGTAGTTTTGTGTGAGCTGGGATCCATGGAAGATCAGTGAATTTTTCTCACCGAGTAGATCACCCAGGATCAATAAGAAATAAATAAATAAATAATTAACCTGACATGCAACTGTAGGTCTATGACATGGTGCCTGGCAGATATATGAATAAGAATATAGTGAAACAAACAAGAAATTAACTTAAGACTTGGAATTTTCCAAAGAACAATTAGAAACTTACTCTATTTGATTTTTATTATGAATGCCAAGCCTTAATGTTAAACCATTCCAAATCTGTTATGTAATTGAAAGTAACTACAGAGTGTGTCAAACAAAATTCCACATTCAGGCAAACAAAAATTTAAAACTGTTAATTGCTTTTTCTTTAATGAACTTACATATTACATTAAAGCTTGACCATTTCTCAATCCACAATCCTTGGACAGGACAGCACTCCTCTCTAGATTGAGCACTGAATAGGCATTGAATAGGCATTGAAGTTAATGACACCACAGGTGGTAGTGACATCAGTAAAATTTAAACCCTTTCACTTAATGGATCGTATTTTTGGATCTAGGGACCCAAACAGCATGGGGTAAAAAAGGGTGGACTGAAGTAAGTCAGGCTTTAATGTAAAATCTAATTTCATTGAAGAAAAAAACAATTAAACTGTGTTTATTCATTGTTTTTCCAACAGTTTCACTCTTTTGACACACTCTGTACAGTTGTACAGTATGCGCGCTTTGTCATTTTTATAAGAATATTAGCAACTAAACAAGCAAGAGAACAATTCGAACTTGCTCTGTTAGGTTTTCATTCTATGTGCCCAGCCTTACTAGATTTTATTGGTAAGTAAAATCACTCCATCTCTACTACAGTACAATTATATGCACAGTACAGGTCAAACAACAAAGGCACTTTTCTTTTTTTGACCTTGCTGCTTTGCTATACAGCGCCAGCTATAGTTCATGCACAATTGTTATACCTCAAGGAAATTTAACACCTACCACCGGCTGAGGTAGGGTATCTACGAATGCAAAGGCATCAATCTCGAAACGTTCTATGTCCGGATCGTCTGATAGATGGAACATCACTGTGTTGTCTTCAATGCACCTACACAATAGAACATTAAATACAACAACAGCAAAATGGGTGGTCATGACTCTGTGCCAGTTTAACTGAAAAAAAAGGATCCTCTAAATGCCAATTACACGTTTGGGCATAAGATCAAGAAGGTCATAACTGTTCCTCTTTATGGTTCCTGTGTAGAATCAAACAAAGAGCAAGGTACCACAACTTCCTAGCCCACATATTGAAAAATAGAACAAAAGGCCTGTACTTGACTCTGAAAATTAATTTATATTCATTTTGTTCAAAAACATGTATAGAAGAATTTGGATTTCAAATTTTTTTCCTGGCCCTTACAAAAATGTCGACTATGGCGAGGCCATGGGAAACACATGGGAGTAAAAAGGATTGTCGTGGTGGTCTCTTAAAACACGATGGTGTCCCATGAGAACACCATGCACAGCTAAAGAAACACCATGGTGTCCCATGGACACCATTTTTCCCATGGGAAGAACCCCATAGTGAAAATTCCAAATCCCATGCTACATGGGAAACCCATGTGGTACATGGGGTCCAAAACCCCATTGACCACCATGGGAAATCTCCATGGCGATCCCATTGGCAATCTCCATTGTGATCTCTTGGGAAATCTCCATGGGATATTTTTGAAATGGGGGGGGGGGTAGGGGAACTACGATTGTGTTTGATGGTGTGATGGTGTGTGACTTTTGTTAATTATATTGAAGTGTACATGCATAACTCAAAGATTTATAGCAAACAACAATCGTTTTTTGATCCCCTAACTACAAAATAACTATTTTTGGTAAAACTACTCCGGCAGAAGAATCAGTACTTTGCCTGAGTGAACCTGAACATGCTCTAGCTGTTTGGGAACACATGACCTTTGTTTCGTTTACTCATGGAAACCATTAGCTCACTCATGGAAACCATTAGCTCACCCATCTTGGATGAAAGTGTAACGATGAAAATCATCTGAGTTGGAGGTAGGCGTGGCGCGACACGTCTGCACAAACAGCTCCAGACCAGGCTCACTCCAAGTTCGAGCCTCGAAGTAGAGCTTGTTACCCATCGCGACGTGGACGGGGTAGTCAGCAGGCTGGTAGGGCGTGGTGTAATCGTTGTCGTGGTAAAGACGGAGGGAGAAGTTGAAGGAGCCGAAACCATCCTCGCGGAATGTGATCTTGGAGGTATCCGGACGGAAACTGCATTATAAAAAGATGAAAAATCAACACCGTCAATATCTTGGTCTCAGGTTACACCTCTTACCGGGTTCTCCAAACCACCCCAGTCCGGTGATCCTTTACTAAAAGTCAAAGATGCACTAGCCTCAATTCTTAATATTTAAATCTTGGGTTACCACAGCCTGGTCATTCCTGAATTCCAACCCACCTAAGTTAGCATCCAAGTGCATCATTCACTGGACTGGAATATAATATCTAGGTCTTGGGTTTAACTCTGCCTGACTTCTTCAATTAATCCAGGTCAGCAATACAAATCCATGCACTGGATTAGATTTATAATACCTTAGTCTCTGGTTAAATCACCTCATCTGATTGGTTCCCTCAGTAATCATAATACCTAATTCTTATATCACCTCATCTGATAGGTTCCCTTAGTAATCATAATACCTTAGTCTCTGGTTATATCACCTTATATGATTGGTTCCCTCAGTAATCATAATACCTTAGTCTCTGGTTATATCACCTAATCTGATTGGTTCCCTCAGTAATCAGAGTACCTTAGTCTCAGGTTATATCACCTCATCTGATCGGTTCCCTCAGTAATCATAATACCTTAGTCTCTGGTTATATCACCTCATCCGATTGGTTCCCTCAGTAATCATAATACCTTAGTCTCAGGTTATATCACCTCATCTGATTGGTTCCCTCAGTAATCATAATACCTTAGTCTCTGGTTATATCACCTCATCTGATCGGTTCCCTCAGTAATCATAATACATGTACCTTAGTCTCTGGTTATATCACCTTATATGATTGGTTCCCTCAGTAATCATAATACCTTAGTCCCTGGTTATATCACCTCATCTGATTGGTTCCCTCAGTAATCATAATACCTTAGTCCCTGGTTATATCACCTCATCTGATTGGTTCCCTCCAACCTACTTTATAGCCCAGTAAAATCCTCTTAAGTATATGATCACAGGGGCTCTAACCTCATATGCCTGGGTTCCTCAATAATCAGAGTACCTTAGTCCCTGGTTATATCACCTCATCTGATTGGTTCCCTCAGTAATCATAATACCTAATTCTTATATCACCTCATCTGATAGGTTCCCTTAGTAATCATAATACCTTAGTCTCTGGTTATATCACCTTATATGATTGGTTCCCTCAGTAATCATAATACCTTAGTCCCTGGTTATATCACCTCATCTGATTGGTTCCCTCAGTAATCATAATACCTTAGTCCCTGGTTATATCACCTCATCTGATTGGTTCCTCAATAATCAGAGTACCTTAGTCCCTGGTTATATCACCTCATCTGATTGGTTCCCTCCAACCTACCTTATAGCCCAGTAAAATCCTCTTAAGTATATGATCACAGGGGCTCTAACTTCATATGCCTGGTTTCCTCATCAGAACCAAGTTTAGCATTACAATCCCTTCAATGGCCATGATGCATCACATGACTAGCAACCAGTATGGTCTCGGGTTCCAACATGGTTCCTTCCAACCTATCCTAGTTCACACTATGAACCAGAAAAGTCTGAAAAGCTTAAGTTAATTAGCCTACGGACAAAAACGTCTGCTATTGTAAACAATGGCGATCATTATTCAGTTTTACTAGACTTTTTGTTCGGAACAAAAGCGTATTATACTGACATTTCATGTATTGTTGATTGTGACCCTGCTAATCCCCTTCAACTCCACCTCTGTTTCAGCCTTCTATTCTAGTTTCATAGATAATGCACTGGACTCGAATTTCAACGGCTAGGTATCAGGTTATAACCTTGCTTATTTCCATCCAACTTAAACCCACACTAGTTTTGTAATCCCTTCAAGGTTCATGAATCACTGGACAGAATATCAATATCTTGTCTCTGGTTATTTCCTGGCCTATGTCCTTCCTTCCAACTCAATCCCAGTTCTGCATTCTTTTCATTGTCTAATGTACATTTGCCCAACGGTCTTGTTTATATGGGTACCTCCAATCCGTCCTATCTCTGCAGTCCGTTCAACATCCATGATGTACTGATTGCATTCCCAACATGTAGGTTTCAGGTTATAACCCGGTTTCATTCCACTCAACCCACAACGATTCCTTTAATATCCATGATGTACATGTACTTCACTCAAACACCTGGTCTCGAGGTATAACCTCAAGCATCCAACAAAATCTAGCTTCTAATAAGCAATGTTGTAGTCGAGTCCATCACAATGCATCACAAGTCCTTCAGTTTTAAGTCAAGTCACTAGTTACTCAAGTGAACTGTTAAAAAAAGCATTCCTTTGTCATTGTTCACCCAGTTACTTGCAGCTGTACTGTGAAAGGACTTGTGATGGACTCGACTACAACACTGCATTTAAGTCCATGATGCACTAGACATCAATCTCAGTCTCTCAGTCTCTCAGTTCTAACCCAGCCTACTTCACTCAGACCCACCTTATTTCAGCGAACCCTTCCAAATCCATGATGCACTGGACTGGAATCTCGATATCTCGGTCTCGGGTTATAACACTGCCTGGTTCGACAGGGACAGCCTCATCGTGGATGACGTTGAAAAAAATCACACTGTCTCCATGAACCTGCCAGAAAACAAACGAAAACAAGTAATGTTGCAAACAAACCACAAGGAAACGTTTTAACGCACGTTTCAAAATAAGAATCATGAAGCCTTGGTATATTTATTTCAAGGTATTTTCTTCAGCTAATCCTGACAATTGCAGCAAACAATGTATATATCACTGACCTCACAGTTTGTATATGCCAAACTTTCAAAAAGACCACAACATGAAGCCAACAATTGTTGCGTTGTAACATTGTTTTAATGTGGTGCACAAAGAAATCGACCACCAACAAAAGGCTGGATATCTCAGTTGGTAGAGCACTGGAATGGCAATCAGGAGGTCGCTGGTTCAAAACCGCTACAGTCAATTTCTTTGTTCAGTTCAGCCCATTTGACTTTTAGGTAAACTATTGCAGTTAACTTTCACAAAGGCACGTTTAGAACTAAAATGAAAGCTGTACAAAAAAATAAGAAACCAGAATAATATTTTAGAATATACCTCCATGAAAGTTCCACATCGGTCGTAAGTTGTTGCAATCTTAACGTGGGTGGCGTTATGATGACTACCGACACACGACGGGTCAAGAAAATGTAAATGAGACGACAAGGCATCACTAATCACAGAGCGGGGGATGAAGACCGTCATGCCAGACTCGGAGCAGTCCATTGATGGCAAGAGGGGTGGTTGAGTCATTCGGGGTTGGTGGGTAGACCATCCGATCTCCTCTGTTGTGAATTCTGTAGGCTGTTTGGTAGGGTTGTCAGATTCCAATGATGTGGTCCAATCCTCAAGTACTTGAGTGGTGTATATTGGGACCTCATCAGTAGCTGTGAAACAAATTCCAAAATTGACAAAGCCATTCCTGACCATTTAGTTATTTTGTTTTGGTCAGCTTACCAATTGACTTAGTTATCTGATAAGAAATTCAATGTTTGAACCTCACAATTTGGTACATCACCGATTTAAGTCGATTAGGCATACGTAGTAATCTGATAGGCTATAGCAAATTTACCGTTTTGAACCTCATTTGGTACAAGACCGTAAACAAATGAGGTTAGTCGATTAGGCATACGTTGTAATCTGATAAACTCAAAAGTTTGAACCTCACCATTTGGTGCAACACCATACACAGCTCTACAAAGGTATATATCAGTGACAGCGGCAGATGGTATATAGCATGGAGCTGCGCCATTTACTGCACCTTCATCAAGTAGGACATAATACTCCTGTCCTATGGGAAGGTAACTTGGCCCATGGACTAGAACTTGCAGCGTGTCGGGAGCTGGAAATCGGACGTGGTAAGTATGCCAGGTGGGGATTCCTAATCTAAACTGTCCGCTGCTTTCGTAGAAATTAGCATAGACCCAACTGGAGCCTGTTGCCTTGGTTATCTGCAATTTGAATTTCAATGGCAGTGAGTTCATATTCTTTCAAGTAAGACATTTACCATTGTGCGTACAAACCTCTGGGCCTCAAATTATATACAGGGTTCATCAAAACGAAGGTAATCCAAAAGCAATGGTTCATAATTTGTATGTAAAAGTTTTAACCTAAGCCTGATGGGCATTCTCAGAGTGGTTCCATCGCTGGGAAGTCGAGTAAATCACAAGTCCATCACAAGTCCAGTCGCAAGTAATTCACAAGTCCAGTGAACAAGTCCAGTCACAAGAAATAACGGATGAAAAACAACAAAGGAATGCCTTTGTCAAAGCTTATTTATATAGCTTGGGACTGGAAGACGTGATGGATTTGTGATGGACTCGACATCTGTGTTCCATTGTAAAGGGAAGTTCTTGAACTTTTAATTTATTACTACCTTATTTGCATCGCTGCAGACATGTATAAGTAAACAAAAATGAAAGCTTTAAAATGATTACTTTAACCATGGTACATCATCTATGCTCACACACTTTAGCATGACTATCTTGGCTAGTATACTCACATGTTGATCAAACCTAAAATTCCAGATCAAGCTATAATTAGGCAGGTTGACTGTAGCGTTAGTCCAGGCCTCAATGACAACAGGAGATGCTATAGAGATATCAATCCATAAGTTATATATTAGTATGGGCACAATTTGACATGCCAAGACAGTAATGACTTGAGGCTAAGTGATAAGAGGTATCTGAATTGAAAGATGTACCCACTGTGATAATTGTAAGTTGTGACAGTCACACATACAGACACGGGAGAGAAGAGCTACTGGTACTTTTGTTCATGTTGGAGGGGTGTATAGCTGGGTTCAGCTGTTAATGCCCCGTGAACAGTTTTTGCTAGACGGTAAAAAAGAATGTATAATTGCATGCTTGCCATCTTAAATTATTCAAAATATATTGACGTGACAGTCCAACCCTCGGGAGGGTCATATTCTGTGCTGTAATATAGGTTTTCAGATTTTGGATGGGGCTTGAACTCCCCCCCCCCCCCCACCAAAAAAAATATGGAAAAACAGAAAGAAGATATTAATTGTTTCCCAAATTTGAAGTAAATGGAGCTAGGAATCCAACACTGGGACTTTTGATAATCAACTGTAAATTTAGAAGTGAAAAACCTCTTACCCATACTTGCACAGTCCAGCCATGGAGTTGTTGCTGGCTCGGTATACGGGGATTCCGTAACTACATGACGAGGTTATTTAGAAAATAAATTAACTGGTAGTTGTCAACTCGTCTGATAAATGAGATCATGAGATTTCAAATGTTTAGGCACTGCGACACACATGTAACACAATTAATTGTGTTCTCAACCTTGCGTGAGTGACATGATCGTCAACATTTCACAGAAAGTGAATATCCCTGTTCATACAAGTCTGATATAATTTTACGAGTATGTCATTCGAACATGAATGTCCCCGTTTTACTTTAGGTACGTAGTAAACCCAATTAAGATGTGCTAAATGTAGTTAACCAACTTACAGTGTATGGGTGAGTTAATAGTTTGTTCTGGCGTGTATTGTTTTGGAAGTGGAGTAGTTTTCACAACCTTCCTTCGAGTTAAAGTCTTCGCTATAAGAATCTATCTGCCAAGTTTGGTGCTTTAGACCAGTCGGTCAGAATGTTGTCGAACATTCAATCTACGCCAACTGACTATTGGAAGTTGAGTTCAACAAGTAACCAGAGTGTTATATACATAGGTGGGCGAGTTAAAAACTGTTGTCCTGCATATCATGGAAGTTGAGTATACTACACCTTCCTGGGTTGTTGGCCAATATTCGGTTGTTGGCTGGAAGCCTGGGTTGTCACGCGTCGTCCAGTCTCCAAACTGCTCGGTGATGTATGCGTATGTTGGGGCCCCATCAGTAGCTGTGTCAAAATGATGCAGAAAACACAACGCCTTTATTAGTCATTTCATCCCATTTTTTTAAAATTATCACACTGTCCAGTATGCTGTCATCTAAATTTAGATCGTAATCAAACTGCAGGAGTACGTTTATGCCATGGCAACAAATAAACTTATGTGGATGCCTTTTTACGTCTGTATGTTCCCCATGTTATTTTTCCGAATTGCCCATTCAAAAAACTTAAACATGCCGACCGCCTGGATAATTATGTGATGACGTCAAGCTGTATTTATATGCACTTACTTATGGAATATAGGAAAGAATGTTGCACTTACTATAACTCCCATAAAAAAATCGTGTAGATAACGTGTGATGTTATGAATTCTCATGGCTTGTATTAGGTAGCAGAAATATTCCAAATCTACGAAGAGCGGATTATTTTCCCTGAAGAAGTACTAAAGAATCTACAGTAGTAACATTAAATACAGATTTGGTTGTTTTTGACACTTCATACAAAGCAAGGCAGGTGGACACCATCACATGGTATCAGAATACAACTGTTGACCGCTATACACGCAATGTGACATGGCAGTTTATCACCAGAGAGGCCAAAGAATAATAAAAAAACATGTTCCACACCACAGCAGTCAAGTGTAAAACAGATACCTACCTGGTGGTGAGCCGGTGTACAGTGTGATAGCAAGCCAACCAGAAGAAGCATTACAAGGGGCAGGACCAGTCACTACATCCTCAGCCATTATAATGGTAAACACTCCATTACCATCCAAATCATATACATCTAAATTCATCGATGAATAACAGTCTGTTTCTATTGTGTCTACAGCCGTCTGGACGATTTTGCAGTTCTGGGCAGACTGCCAAGCATGTCGTCTGTATATGTAAACACCTGTTAGGCTCTGAGCCACCGTGACCTAATGAATAGTTGGAAGAAAATACACCAAAATACACGATCCTCAGTATGTTAGCAAAAGACTATGGGAACAATCAATTTATACTGATTGAGTGGCAATTCAGTGGATCACTTTTGACTTATTCAGTTCATTTAGGGCACAACTTTCCAGCATTAGAATGATACGATACAGCGATGGTTAAAAAAATGTTAATGCTTGAGTTATTTAAACGTATTCTTCAAAATCATAACCCGATAGTATGTAACAAAAACAAATTAACAATTACAAATTCAAGTACAATTTGCTGGACAGATGGCTCGTCTACAAACAATAGTTAAATTACGTACTAGTAGTATGACTTAGTATCTTTCTTTCTTCTAGCAAAATGTGGCTCCGGAAAATATGAATTACTACTCGTCATTAATCTTTCACATGGTGTCAAATACATGTAATGGGAATTCCATCAAGAGCATCAAGTGCAGTGCCAACTGCTAATTTGCAAACAATTGCATTGGTAAGCAGGCCTTTAGTCTCAGATATTCACGTATGCACAGAGCGCCTGATATATATGAACATGTAAATTTAATGCTATCCAGGTATTGCAGCCATTTGGTGTTAACTTTAGAAATTGTGACTTCGTTTCGAGCAAACATTCGGTCCAAGCTGTTGATTTGCACTTGAGCTGCCACGCTCTTCGGTAACAAAACAACGGGTCACCGAAGACTCGATAGAAGGCGCTCGCTGAATGGTTAGGATCTGGAGATCATGGCGGAGTCTTGTTTTGCACAATTAATCGCCGCACAAAACAAAAGTGTGAAATCACCCAACTTTCAATTTTACACCCCCAATTAATGCAAACATAAAGTTAAGTGTTACCTGTAATCCAATTTGATACTAACCTCTCGATCATACTTGAGGGTTAGTTTAGCTATGCTGAGTGAAGAGTAAAATCCATCAGCTGGCCAAGACTGAATGACAGTGGGACGTTCTGTAAAGGAAATTATTTCACAGCTTCCAACAGTCATCCAAAAATACAGTTTGAATCCCATATTATAAGACATATTCTTGGCATCATTTACTCTAGGTAGGATTATATAACTTCCAAGTAAAGTTTCTTAGCACTGTATCGGACACAGTAGGCCGTTATGTTTACCACATCTTAGATTTATTTAATAGCAAAAGCATTTTAGAGTAAAGCATGAGCTTTTGAACATTATCACCCTCCCACACACTGGTAGTCTTTTTAAAGATTTTTTTTCATGACATGTTGCTTTAGTCTTTGGGCCCAAATCGTTTTCGAACAATATAAAGAAAAAGTAGTCGGAAGGATAAAACGTAACAAACGTGTCAAAGCGTTCCTGTAACGCATGAGTAGTCAAGTCTTAGTACTTCCATTGTACCCGATTGATTTAAATAATCAAAACATGTCAACAGTGAGGGCGCCCTTCGCAAGCTTACAGTGTTACAAGCAGCCGTATCTTACCTGTGTCAGAGCAACTTGATGGTGGCGCTGGAGTTGTGTAGTACGGAGTATCGTGGTATCCTACAGGAGTACAGAAACAACATTATTTCGTTATCAAAAGCGCCACAAAATGGTGCGACTTAATATAAAGATAAACACAATTCATTCTTGTTAACTAGATTTTGGACAAAAGAAGTCTTTAAAAAAAATCATATCAAGCAAAAAACTAAAGGAGCTGATTATTTTGGAGAGGTTGAGTGGTTAAGCAACTATAAGTAAACATGCAGTAAAGTCAAGAATAATCCTCGTGCAATTTACATGCACATGGACACCAATTCAAAAACTATATTTATTGCACATAACCAATTCCTCCCCACTTCACTCTTGTCAAAAATAAAGCGATATAAGCCTACTTCCACAAATGGTGTAATGTTCTTACGATCTGGCAAGCCACTGTACAATACTTTGTAGAAATTGGGGTCCGTAACGGCAGCTGATGGAACATAGCATGGCCCAGGACCGGTCACTACGCCCTCATCCAACAGCACATGAAACACTTGCCCTCCAGCTAGCAGCGCTTTCAAGTTCGCGGGTACAACAACTTGCATCGTGTCTGGGGCAGGGAAATGAACGTTGTCACCAGCGGAGGCGTCGATTGAAAATACCCATGTGCCGACCCTGTAGTAAACCTTGACAAAAGCAGGTCTAGGCGCCCTATTCACCTGTGTGCGGAATTCCATTCAAATTGTACAATATGGATTAGGACAGAACTCGCTTTACTCCGTAAAACACGCCACACGCGAGTGCTATAGCTACGTGCTGAGCTAAAAAGTCATTCGAGGTCGTTTGCTCAGCAGCGTAGCCCGCCGTGTGCAACTTGTTTTTACTGAGTTTTCTGTCTCGCGAGGCCGTGAGGCAAATATCTATCCTGTCTGATTTATTTGGCCAGACGAGACAAAAAACTCACCGTGTGCGCAACACGAGCTACGCACTTAGCTAAAAAAGACTAATAACTAACCAATGAACGCACATTATTCTTGTTTGTCGCTGGCGTGATTTAAAAATGGGGACAAAACGCCAGCAAGTTTTAGAAGATTGGGACAAACATATCACGTGTACAGAGTAAGTGATTCCATTTGCTAGTTTTTCTTTTCAGCACAGCACATAACTCAGCAAAAATTCACCGCACACGGGGATATTATGTGAACTTTGTGCTGAGCGAATGGCCTCGAATGACTTTTTGCTCAGCACAAACGTAACTCCTGTGTGAGGCGAGCTTAACACTAGTTCTACGTATATTCGTTCGCAACACACCGTTCAATGATGTGTTCAATTATGTGCACCGTTTGACGGATGCCGCCACCTTTACGATCACGTAGAAACCTTTTACAAGGGGCATTTTCATTGAAATTGTGTCCCAATTATGCCATGGTAGCTTGTGCAGAGTGCGCCATGTTTTCAACAAAAGTCCCCCAAAAAGTGATTACAAAAGACGGTTACAAAAGACGTGACTGACGCAAAATTGCTATATCGAAAGTTTTTGACAACAATCTTTTCAAACAACTTCATCTTTTAAATGCTTCAATAAAGAAGATATTTCTATAGTTTCTGTCAAGAAGGGGGGGGCAAGGGGGGAGAGACGCCCCCCCCCCCCCCGGAAAGCATCCAAAAAAAGGGGGGAAGAGGTGCGGTGAAGTCATAATTGTTTGCTATTATGTAGTACACATTTAACAAAATGGGCGTCTGCAGGGGTGTTAGTTGGGGTGGGGTGGGCCAATTTACCCCACCCATCCTCGAAGAAATATAAATAAACTGAGAACATGCTAGAGAAAGTATAACGATTTGGGGGGAAATGTGCTTTGCCCCAACCACCCCCCCCCCCCCCCCCAAAAAAAAATTTTTTCCAGGCGTAGCCCATTACAGCGCTCTTTCTGCTCGAAAATATGGATATTATAGAAGGATCAGTATTCACACTCACGTTTTGGTTGAATTTGAAATGGAAAGTCCAATCGGCGAAGGCGGGAATTCTGGTGACTGCTGGATCGGGCCAGGTCTCCACAATAACAGGAGGGGATGCTAGGCCAATATCAATCAAAACAAATATCACATTAAAGTCAAAGATGCAGGGAAAAGCAGGGAATTGAACAAATGTCCTGTCTCTGACTGATCTGATATAGAAAAAAAGCCAGATCATACCCACCACTGACCTTGTTTATGAGAAAAAAGGGTTAGTTTTTGTCCAATTTTGTGCAACTTAATCCATCTCATTAACTGTATATTGCAACCTTATCATGTCACATAGTGTAGCCAGGTTTTTGTTGTAGAATAATGTGTGCTACGTTCTCACTGTCCTGTAAATCGACCTTAGGAATAATTCTTCAGGTTATGGGCTCGAATGCAGCCACCTGAATTGCGGTGCCTGTATCCTTCGGTACAACGACACATATTTCTTACTTATACCCCGTCACACTGGAGGCGCGGTGCCACAAAACCGCCATCACCGTAGTGACACCGGCAGTAGTTTTTCATAGTTTTCCCCTACCCGTCATACCCCCGTCACACCGGAGGTGCGGTGCCACTACGGTGCTTGTACGGCATAAACCGCAGTGGCACCGCCATGATCGCCGTGGTTCCGCAGTGGTTCCGTCATTGATCGCCGTAGCACCGCGGAAAACTGTCAAAACCGCGGACCTTCGCGATTGCACGGCGGTTGTACTGCGGAGGCACGGCGGTGATAGAGGTCCTACTGCAGTCCTTGTACAGTGCCACGGCGGTCATGGCGGTGCCGCGGCGATCCCACTACGGATTGGCCCAACCCGCGGTGGCACTGCGGAAGTTTTGAACATATTCAAAGTATACGCCGTGCCACCGCGAAGGTCCACGGTTTTGACAGTTTTCCGCGGTGCTACGGCGATCAATGACGGAACCACTGCAAAACCACGGCGATCATGGTGGTGCCACTGCGGTTTATGCCGTACAAGCACCGCAGTGGCACCAAATCTCCGGTGTAATAGGGGTAATGGCTAGCTGTATGTATAGGGGGTTAGTGTTAAAGAGCTGTTACTCTCCAATGGAATGAGAGTAGAATAGTAGAAGGGATGTTTTAACTATACACCGTAGTTTGGGTAAGGCAATTGACAAAAACAATAATCTGAATTGAAGAGAACAAGAAGCTTACCAGAGTCTGAGCACTGCAGTGACTTAATGGCAGGTTGTTCATCATGCTGACCAGGTGAAACATCAACAGTGTCCTGTGGAAAGAAATGTTTAAATGTGACCCGCTCTGCAATATTTGAGTCAGTATTCGCAAAAACTCACGTTTTGAGGTAACTACGTTAATGAAATGAGAATGAAATAAGGTTACATTTGGTATGTCATGGATCTCTCTATGACATTTGGTTGCTTTGTTGTGCTTGTTTCATTCTGTCAATTTCCACAAAAACTAGAAAAGTCTCAATGGAGAAAACAGGGCTTGCAAAATGACAAATATACTGTAACCAACCAAAAAAATCATCAACAATCCACATTTTGTTCCTTTCGAACATTTTTTCTTAAGACATCTAAACTAAAACTACCAAACAACCAAACTAAAACAATACCAAAAAATCTCAATTTTGATCAAATTTTCACTGTTTCCATTTCAGAATCTCAAAAGCTTGAATTCAAATTATGCGACATCAGACTATTTATTTTTCAGAGCGGGTCACCAATATTTGATTATGGACTTTGCCTCTACTGGCTTGTGTTTATAAAAAAAAATACTGTGTACTCTATGCTATTCAAGGGTTTGCTAGACAAAGACAAAGTTTACACAGGTTGGATTGCCACTCGACACCGCGCTAACAGTGCTTAGTCAGCAGGCCGGTTCAATTAAATATAATAATAACGGGTAAAGCATTGAATGTCTTTTATAGTGAGAAGCTTACGTTTTGGAGATTTTAGGTTTGCCTGTCCCAACAATATTTCATATAATGTGTTTCGACACAAGAATACATCAGGATATATCGAGATAAAACTCGGAAAAACCAATGTCCATGCACAATGGTATTTCAGATCCTTGGTACTGACCTGAGACTCGTTTTCAGCCGCCTTCACAGATAAAGTTAAATCTCTGACATGGGACGAGCGGACCTCCCCACAGTGGCATCCTTGAAGAAAGACCACAACTAGCAGAGCCTGAAGCAAACCACCCATCTTGCAGACGGACCAGGATATTGCTCTTTCCTGCACTTTTTCTACTTTTGACACGGGTTTTGGAATTCCAACCCCCTTATAAACTGGATGAACTACCAGTTATCAATTAACCCGGATTTACTATAAGAACAGTTAAATCTATCTGGTTACTGTACAGGGGAGCCATTTTCCCAGGAGGGGTATTATTTATTTTTTGCCTGTTTAATAGCCATATAATGTTAACTCGGATGCAAACTTTTCCTGAATTAAAATATATCAAGGACAGCATGGGATAATAGTTGTTTTGTGATTTGTCCTGTCCAATATCGTCACAATATCAAATTCGAATTCACCACTCTGTAAGTAAGTATACATTGTAACAAAATGTATACATCTTAATACAATGTAATAAATGAAACATCATTGTTTGCGAGCAATCTTGGAAATCCGCAAATATCCGTGGTATCTTGGCAGCTGTGTAGACGATAATCCATTTGATGGACATTTATGCATGTCCGGGTTTCCACTGACTTAGATAAAGATTTTGAGTAGTTTGGGCAAATAGTGAACTTTGTTTATTTGCAGATGGCGAACTGCGACCCGCACTGCACACACGGTATGGATGCACTAAGCGTATCCTTAAAAAAACACCATCACCAAGCAACATAAAGACTTTGGGTAGTCGGGCAAATCGTGAATTTTGTTTAATTTGCAGATTGCGAACTGCGACCTGCATTGCACACAAAGCTACAAAAAGCGCATCATGATAGGGATATCAACACCATGCAACAGTTAGGTTGGGAAAAGCGTTTCATTTGTTTCTCCTGAAAATATAGGCAGATGAATACAGGCCTAGATCCGGAAACAAAAATCAAACTCACCAACGCGCAAATGTTCCAGTAGGGCTTTGATATAAAGACAATGCTCATCAATGTTTAGGGTAAGTTAGTTTAAAGAAAAAACTTTGAAGGTTCGTACATGTTTCAATAGACCAATCTAAGAATTATTTGTAATTTCAATTTGACGCTCTGAATAATAATACACAGAAAATGGATACAAATGATGGTTTATAGCGGAGAGATATTTAACAACATTTTCTCCGAAGGGAAGTGGGCAGGGGTGGATCTAGCTTTCAGGAAGCGGGGGCGGAGCTAAGAAGGTGGCTGGGGGGTTAAAGTGAAGGTGTGACATAATTGTAATCTACGATGTTTTCTCCTGCAGTTATGTTACTTGCGTTTTCCTGTTGGATACATTTTAAAGCCACTTTTGGAACGGAATGTACGTGTCGTTATATGAAGGTTTAGTTAAATGTCATATTTATTATAGAATAATACAGGTTTGATTATCGCAAAGAATGTCAACTGTTTTCAAATGAACTCAAAGTTATATTTATAAATATATAGATATACATTGTTTTGTTAAAATCATTGTGTTTTGATGGAATGTAAGTGCCCCTTTCTTAAAGCTATTAGATCATATTTAATATAGCATAATACAGGTGTGCATTTTGTTGTAATGTAAAGCGGAATAAAAATTTTAAAAAAAGTTTTCTACTGCATTCTAAGACAATTTAGGAATAAATTTAATACGTAACTTTAGCAATCAATTTATGTATTTTGGCCCCATTTTACTAGTTACATAACCTTCGTAAGGGGCTGAACGAGGGAGTTGCGACCCCACATCTCCCCACCCCCGCTACTAAAGGAATAAAATGAAAACTCTTGTTTCAAGGCAAAACAAGATAATACACAGTCCAACTGAACAATACTGGATAATTAACAGTCTTATACATAGACTGATTCAGAATTAGTAACATGTTAACAAAGGTTGAAAACTGTCGATTCAAAATCGAATGCACACATTTAAAAACAGCCCCAAAAAAGATGGTTGTACCTAGTAATGGGATCAGGGGCCAATTTCAAGGCGCTGTTAAGCACAAAATTTCCTGAGCGCAAATGTTTAGCTTATAAAAGCAGGTTACCAGCCAAAATTCTATGTGATGTATATTGCTAGCGATTTGTATTCAGCTGTTGCTTAGCTTGAAAATCACATGGAGTTTTTGCTGATAACCAGCTTTTATAAGCCAGACTTTGCTTTGTGCTCAGTAAATTGTTGTGCTTAGCAGCGCCGTAAAATTGGGCCCAGGTCTCGTGTGACTCAAATGTACAGTTTATATGCAAGTGAAGCATAAACGTACACGAGAAGTATAAGGCACGCCTATGCAAAATAAAAGTTAAAAAAATGCAACATTCTGCACACTACGGATTGAAATGTATTATAACTATTATATAGTTATAATACTATTATATAGTTATAATACTATTATATAGTTATAAAACTTATGTATTTCTTGCTTTCTTTCAAATATAATTTCAAGTACTTTTTTTTACTTAGGAAGTGTGCTATCAACTTGGGATTAAAAAAGTTAACGTGAGTAATCAAGACATTGATAAAATGTCAGCTATTTACAAAATCGTACGTATCTTACTTGCTCAAACGTATTAAAATTAGGATTTTGACAGGCAAAATATGCATCAAATAAGACAAAACATTCAAAAATGACTGCTAAAATGTATCATGAGAGAAGTCAACAAATCAATCCAGCAGAAGCCGACCAATTTAAAATTTGTTATACAAGCCAACCTAGAAATCCAACCATAACCTGCTGGCCTCATGAAAAAGAATTCCAGTTTTTAATAAAACAATATAGGCCTGAATAGAATGTTTAAGATGTCGTGTTCGATAGCTTCATCAAAATTAGTGTCATTGTACTGTGTGATTAGTTTGTATGATGATCAGCGCGGGCTGAAACCTCGATAAGTCAAACTCTGATACATGGGCGTCGCCAGGATTTTTTCTAGAGGGGGGCAAAACAATTTTTTGCCAAAAAATGCTTGTTTTTCTCAACACATTCTCGATTTATCAGTTTAAGAGGGGGGCAGGGACATTTGCCCCCCCCCCCAACTCATTAAATTTACACCACTTTGTCTTCGCGCCTCTCTTTCTTTTTTCTTCTTTTTTTTTGCCTTTCGGGGGGGGGGGGCAAGTGCCCCCCCTTGCCCCCCCCCCCTCGCGACGCCCATGCTCTGATAACTCAAAACAACTGTTTAGTCAAACAAAGAATCTATTTCGTATAGCAATGATATACAGCCCTGCTTAACTCAAAACTCTGCTTGAGTCAAATTTTGAGCCGGTCCCCTTGAGGTTTGACTTTAAGTTGCCATCCACTGTAACATAACCATAATGGGAAACAGATGTTTATGCATGTTCATAAATGTACTACTATTTAGGATTTTCATTCACCGATAGATGCAACTCAGGTAACACCTAATGTTACACTGTGCGTTTCCTAAATCAGAATTCCACCAAAAGTCCCTGATTACGGTACCCGCTGTTATATTAGATTTCAGTTAGTCATTAGACCCTGGCAAGCACAGTGCTCATTAAGTGAGTGTGTGTGGGGTTTTTTTTTTCAAGAAAAGAAAATAACCATCTTGTCCCTTAGATCCAAAGCAGTCTGTGTTGTGTGATCGGGATCTTTTTTTACCTCTTCCTTGTTATGAACTTACAGATATAAGGATGAATTTACTTAACGAGACTACGCAGATACACAGCCTTAGTTAATGTATAGCAGGGTGCAGGCACCTGTTTCCATTTTTTGCCACATTTTGTTTGGGCATCCCGCTCACACAGTTTGCTGTTCACGATAGTTAAGATGTCCAGGATATGAGTAGTATCGTGAAACTTGGATATCTCATCTACTAACGCCTTGACATACCAAGAACCTTCTGTTCCATTACGGTATGAAACATATCCTGGTACAGTGGAGTAGCTCAGCAGAAAGTCAGCCTCATTTGGTAATGTTTTGGCCAAGCCAGCACCTACTCCAATTGGCCGATCAGTGTCCATTTCTTGTACTCCTTCTTGACGGCTACTACCTTGACAAGCCTAGAATAAAACACGTAAGAAACAACAGAACCCATTACTTGCTGTGTAATCAACACATACATCCCTTATTTATTAAACAGCACTGAAGCCTCAATGTTGACAATTCAAATAGAGCCTGTCAGTTGACCTCAAAACACCTGCCAGATTTTACACTACAGTTTATCCGGGCACAACGTAGAGGCTTTACAATGTGTGTTACGTCAAATTTGTTTGCATGAATTTTGTGTCCTGACTGGGCCCATCCCATCATGGGCAATGAATGGTTATTTTGAAAGAAAAGAAAACATAACTAACAGTTTACAACATAACGAAATATTGCGAATTAATTACTATTATATAATAACAAGGCTGAACCACAACTTCGGTTCAATCGATCACGCAAAAGCAGATAAAAATTGAGTTATTCCAAATACGGGGTCTGTGACTAGACTTGTCTGTGTTTGTTACCGAGATGTTCACATAAAACATGACGGGACGTAGACTGGTGAGACTTACATACACAATCTATTGGTTAAGTGCTACGACGGGAGTCGCATTGAGAAGTCCCATTGACATTGCTTTAATGAACCAAGATGATCAAAGAAGCAGCCTATGAAATGACGAGAGCGCAAGTTAGCTTTGGACCCAGCTTTCGTATGCCAACATTTCAAAAAGCACACACGCATATACATCTTTGTAAACACCGGCAATCGTGGACCCCATGTCCCTGATCCTCATTCATTTGTTAGTACTTTAACTTTTTAGCGACAGCTCTGTTTTTACTCCAAACACCACTCACAAACCCAAACACTGATATAAAGCACCGGCAGGCACCGGGCTATTCCTCATATGCATACGTGTCCAAAATTCTGGATATGCAAATTATCCAATACCAGGGTGAAAGAGCAGGTATTAGTGGTACCGTAATGCTCGACACCCTGAGAACGAGGTCGGGGTACCATTGATCCCTTTTTGTAAATACCCCATAAGGTAACTCTTGTAAGAGCAAACAGGCCACAGACATTAGCATGGTCTTCATACATATAATGCAATGGACATATAATAGAAATCAAATGCGGGATGAACAATTCTATTTCCGCATGGTTGTGTACATGTATATCAAAACACTATTCAAGCATTACAGTACACATCCCTCGGACAAAGGTATACACATGTACACTGACATATCCGAATGGAATGTTGTTAATTTTCATTTACTTCCATTGAAATTAACTTGGCGTCGCATAAATTTGCATATGTGCATTCACAGAGAGTATTATAAGTAGAGAGACAAAGTATCACACTGATATTCAATTTACCTGTATGAAAAACAGTTTTGGCTTGCCAGTAAGACTCGGACATGAAACTCCCTTGAAAAGTCGCAGTATCTCTTGTATCTCCAGAGCCGTGCCATCCGTGCCACATACTTCACCCAATGTCCCATGTGTCATAATACAACATGCAAAACAGTC